GTTCTCTCCCCTTACAGAATCTGTAAATGATATATTCTTACGTCCAGATCAATATTAGTCTGGTCTGGTCTGAAAATACAATCAGGCTAAATTTGGTAGTTTCGTTGAGTACAACTTGAGTAGACTGAACTATTATCCAATTTACCAAGTATCTTCGCTAAACCCCTTAACATATGTTTTTACATTTTCTCTTTTCCAAAGCGATACCATTGGAGAAGAATTACATTCATGTTTATGCCATTTTTGTGACCTCTTGCAGGTAAATTACAACGGGGAATCGTTGCACTTTCCAATAACCCACAATCTCATTTCTGCTGATCGGATCGAGGCTCATGGAAATGTCAAAATTGGCGGATCCTTCACCAGCGACACTCCTTTCCAGGGTAGGATCGCATGTCTTTGGTACCAGAAGGGATATTTTTTTAAGAAAAGCAAGACTCCTTTGCCATTCTGTGACTCGAATGTACGATCAAACGTCATGCCTCTAGGTGAGCGAAGCTTGTACATTTCGACTTTACTGAATTTCAATTAATATTGAAAATGGGTTATTCATAGCTTTATTTGTTTTTCGTCCCTTGAACAGCCAGTGTCATTTTGGGGCATTGCTCTTAAAAGTATCAGGTTCTACCTCACTGAACAACATACGTGAGGCCCGTGTCATTCCATCGAGGGCAATATGGTTGAAGTACCTATTCCATGGACACAGCATTGACAACACAGACCGATTCATTTTTCAGCCGCCCGAGAAACACAACCCCCATGAATAATCTCGCTGTTGCTACATGCGATATTCAATGACTTGCAGCCAATATTGAGGTTACATATATGACTGACCTTAAAACAGAAGACGCTTACTCTTTTAGAACACCTGGTCTTATTTTCACTGTTTTTTTCCGTGACCTCAGTAATACTTTTTTGGTTGTATTTGTCCTCATGCCATCGTTTTTGAGTTTGTCAGAGTTTGCATAGTTTATATGTCAGTATTTTCTATTTGTTTATAATTATTGTTGAATGACTGCTCTGTTTTCCCGAAGTATCAGTGTGTCACAATTTTTCCACTTTATCCTGATCAAGAATAAAGATTAATAATCTGTATATCCTGGTACACACGATCAGAACATTTAAGGCCATATCATCATACAACTCTGAACATTTGTGTTTGTGTTAGGTTCGTTACTAGCTGCATAAACATGCAAAATTCGTTTCGGTAATGTGCTTCATTCGTCTATTTACCAATGTTACGCATTAGAATAGTTCTGTATATGTAATTTTGATTCATATGGCTTCTTTCACCTCTACCGAGCGGATCGATGACAATGATACAATGTGATATATTATGTGAATGACGTTGTCCATTTCAGCGGTAACAGATATTGCAGTACTTAGCGCTTCTGACTGTTTCCCTGTTCTTGCCAATGGTATGTATTTACCCATGACTTTGGCGAAGTCGTCGTTTTCTTGTTGAATGTCATTATTTTTCTTAGAAACAGAAGTTGTAACTAAAACAATTGCTGCTTTTTAGAAAATAAGCGACGGGGACGGGTCTATAGAATAGTGATATAAAAACTGAATAAAAATAATATTTCTATCGATTAAGAAAAATAAAGGGCCTTCAGCCCGTCAAATATTCCATAAAGTTTCCATGGTAACTTGGAAAATCTATATTGTAAATGTATCGAACTCTCATGAGCAAATCAATTGAAATAGGAATGTCTAATGTATCCTTGTGTTACCGACTTGTCATACATGTTTTTACTCTTTCCTCAGCATCACCACTTAGAGTCGAACAGAGATGTGAAGAACACATAATGGCGTAGGTGTCGGGTTCGATTCCTTGCATAAAACAAAAGTTGTGTCCCATAAAAAAGTTTTGCTAAGACTCTACAGAGCCCTTATTAGATCAAAGCTGGACTACGGTTCCATCGTGTATGGATCTGCGAGACCTTCTTATTTAAAATTATTAGACACTGTTCATCACCAAGGTCGCAGGCTCGCTCTCGGAGCTTTTAAGACCACACCTACAGCAAGCCTCTATGTAGAGGCTAAAGAACCATCACTATATAGCCGTCGAAATAAATTGGCTTTGCAATACAACATTCAGCTAAGGTCAAATCCTTCAAATCCTGTTTTTCTCCTGTATTTGATCCAAAGTATAAAACCTTGTTCCAAGGCAAAACAAAAACCATTCCATCATTTGGTATTCGAATTTCGGCTCTGTTACAAAACACAAATATTGATTGTAACCAAATTCAGTCATTTGGAACGATAGAAATTCCACCCTGGCTCATGAATTCATCTAAAGTTGACTTTTTACTTCATGGAATGGTTAAATCAGACACAGTTACGCCTTTCGTTCATCCTTCTCGAAATTGCAGTTGAAAACTTTTCTACATCTATATACTGATGTTTCAAAAGATAATGATAAGGTTGCTGCGGCCATGGTTATACAAGATGAAACCTATGGATGCCGGCTACCGAACAACGCCTCAATATTCTCGGCAGAAGCGCGAGCTATCTACCTCGCCCTTGAATATATTCAAAGAAACAAAGTGATGAGAGCTGTTATCCATTTAGACTCTCTTTCTGTTCTAAAAACTCTTAGCAATAGAAATATTGAAAATATTTTCATTCGTAATACCTTAATGCTTTATCATGAACTTGCTTTTAACTTTCGTATTGCTTTTTGCTGGGTTCCTGGGCACATGGGAATACCAGGTAATGAAAACGCAGATCGTGCCGCAAAGGAAGCTTTATCGCTACCACCTATTGTTTTTGAACTTCATTTTACCGATTTTAAACCATTTATTAAATAAATTTTAAAAGCTCAGTGGCAGGAGGATTGGAATACCTATACCAATAACAAATTGCACTCCGTTAAACCTATCATCGGTGAATGGTCTCCATGCAACAGAGACAACCACCAAGACGTAGATGTCCTTGCCCGTCTTCAGATGGGTCATACATACATTCATATATGTTGAAAGGCGAAGATAATCCTTGGTACATAAGATGTGATGAGCCGTTGAACATTTTTTATTGGACTGCAGTGACCTTCTGTCTACTCGAGAATGGTTTCATCGTAGCATTACATGTCTAAAATCCTTTTTTGAAACTGTTGAGATTTGTAAAATTCTACATTACCTGAAAGATGTTGGTCTATATAATAGACTATGACGTATCATTTTAATCTTTTGTGTTAACATACCCATTTAAGATGTTTAACATTTGTCTTTTACCTTTTGGTTTGTTTAATGTTATTTCCTTTTGATGGCCCTAATGACCTTTTATGTGTTGACGGGCCGTTAAGAATGTCATAATAATAATAATAATGTTGGTTATTACAATACATTGTATATCTTAATATAGATTTGAATGTATGTGCGCGGCTGGGTTTGTAGACAGACACAATGAAACATGCAAAATTAATTGTAAGAAAAAAACACACATTGATTTGTCTTCATTTTTGGACAAATGGGCTCAATTAGTGAATTTTTTAAAAATTCTTTATTAATTTTGGACACATGCAATGTTTCTCGATATAAAATTATCGGTTCCTTTGATCCAGACAACACCAACACAATACAATATTTATTTCTGTACGGCATTGTCAGCTGACTATAATACATAATTTACAATGCAATCTTTGGCTCATTGTACACTATGTACAGATAAATAATTCAGTCGACCGGAAAAAATCCACTTTACAAATTACATTGTAGTGAATCGATTAGCACCGTTTCTGAACACACAATTCAAACTGATACCAGATAGCACCAGATAAGCAATATATTCTACCGATGTCAAACATATTCAACCTATGTCAAAGGTCAAAGGAATTCGACCTATGTCAGGAATTCGACCTATGTCAAAGGAATTCGACCTATGTCAGGAATTCGACCTATGTCAAAGGAATTCGACCTATGTCAGGAATTCGACCTATGTCAAATGTATTCAGTTGATGCCAGTTCATTGTATTGGAGCCTCAAATTATTGAAATGGTAGTAATGGTCCAACATCGGTGAAAAAAAGGTGAACAGACCTTTCACATTTTGATCTCTACACATCGTTTTATAATTTCGCCAAACACATTCTAAGTGTTAAACAGAATTTTCCTTGACAATGGACTCGACGGTTTGTCAGTACATGTACCTAGCAAATGAATACGGAACGTTTACAATGATAATATTATCAGGTGCCGAGTTTTCTTATATAAATAGACATAACTTATCTTCCTATACAATTAATGTTCAATACAATGTAAAATATTTGATCAACACTGTTTTCGATTTACAGATCACTAAGATTTCATTTTAATATATTTAAGGAATTTTGCTTATCAAATTAAATACAATTTAAACAGATTATAATTTTTTAAAACTTAAAAGAATCGTAAACATATACTTAAAAACAAAAGGAATTCTAGGCATCAACAAAACCGTACTTTTCACTTAAATGGAGGTAACAAGATCATCGTGTGAATAGAATGAATACCAATCCGACCACGTGTTACGGAAGGGTTAGCGTTACTCGGCCAAGTCCTGTCATGTTCTCAACGTTAATCTTCCCTTCTCATTTTCCAATGACGGGTTTTTTATCACTTGGACAGATATTTGCCATTATCTTATAAAAAGCATATAAAATAGATATTAAAAAATGTAATGTGTTATCCGAGTCACTCGGATAATGAATAAACCATACAAACGATGGGGTCATTAACACGCATTACTTTCATGAAATGATAAAATGATAAAAGTTAATTGATTTTAAAAATGAATTAAATTTGTGAACATCTCTTGACACATCAAATCAAATAACTTGATAAATGTAAAATGTGATGTATTCTAAAAACGGGAAAATATGAATGGAGTTCCTTCACCGATACCTGATGAACATCGAACAGGATATAGTTCCTTGTCGACAATATACGTGTAGTTTCACAGTAAGATTACAAACAGTTTTATTCCGAGGTAAAACACTGTACTTGATAGTTACATAACAAGTCAATATCTTGGTTCTCTTAAGCTTAGGTCTGGAAGTTCGTCCTCCGGGTTCACGTAAAGTTCTTTTAAAGCTGCATTTGTTTTAGCATCGACAAACGCCGACCTCTCAAACACTTCATCATAAAAGTATCCGTCGTCATTTTCTCGATTTGGCTCTTCGTCATCGATCGAAAATAAGTTGGCCTCTCTCCTGTGTCCGGGAACGTCGATAGATGTACCATCATAATCAAGAGCATGTTGGCTACTCGCGGAAGATAATCGGCGCCTGCGCTGTCTATTCCAGTAATCACATATTCGAGACAATCTGTAGATAATAATAATAACAATAATAATAAAACAGTAAGATGAAAGATTTTACTATGTGAACATGGCATTTCGAAAGACGATGTTCGCACCTCGTTAATATAATCTTGTCTTTCGAGACCTCAAGGACCAAAAGGACGAAAACTCGCAGGACGAAACAACGAAATAACACAAATCAGCCTCCAGTCATCAGACTTCTATCACTGCATTCGGACACCACTAAACTCATGTACCATTAAATGATTAAGGTACCTGTCATATATAATATCGGTTAACGATTTAACACAAAATTTGGTCATTTGATTTCACAACCGGTAATGTCAGACATCTCATGGAACAATGTATTTTGCCATTAAAAAGCAAGAACTCCAAATACATCATGTACCTCATTTAAAATAAGAATCCGCGAATTCGTTATTTGCTTTGAAATATTTGTGTGAAAACACGGAAAATCAGACAATGACGAGAAACTTTTATAAGTTACAATGTGTCCGAAATGCTGTCTTCTTCAAGGAACTGGACGTATTTTATTTTCTATTAACAAACGTTTCAGACAAAATAAGTCACGGCTCCATTTATTACATCCACTTCTAATGTGATCATGTATCCCCATGGAAGGTCCTTGTGGGCAGGCACCTCGTTGTTACACTTAGAGCACTACAAAATAGGGGGTTATTAAAGTAAACTCGAAGATGTGAAAACTTTCGAGTACAGCGTAAGGTACATGACGAAAGGTGAAGGCTAACTCGACCTTGAAACCTTACATGTATTATTCCTCGTAATGTCTATTGAACGGGAGAGAAAGCAGGGGATACAAGCAATACTGTATTGTGTAAGGCAGGCGCTAATTGCATGCACACTTTGTGAAGCACTTACGTCTTCATTGTGGTAATGATCACGTGGTCAAAAATGTCACTAGGAACAGATATGTAAGCCTTACCCTCACGGTGCAATAGTTATGGGCAAGGTTAAAGTTGACAACAGACAAACTCACACACAAACAAACTCAGAAAGATAAACAAATAAACAAACAGAACAAGATTATCTCCCTTAATTTTTTCGATCCGGGGCATTAAAAAGAGTCCAATCATAGGAATGAACAAGTACGGTAAACGATTACCTTTCGTGTCATGCAGTCCATATCATATAGTAATATTAATAACTTTATTTATTTTACGACAATTGCGAAGCAAGTTTTTCCAACTTATATAAATCACTCTTGTTGGCTCGGATGGAAGCGCGCGAGGGGTCCTAGTATGGGAGGACACCGGAGTACCCGGTCCATATCATATCGTAAGACCCAGACTATGAGTAAGCAAATACTGCAGGTTTTAATGTATCGACGTTTTAATTAGTTCGTTACAATGTAACTTGACCACATATTTAAAAGTGATTGTAATTATGTACATATTACTATTCATGTCAATTTTGTTAGGACTTTTCGTTGATTAATATTATCATCGAATATTCTTACCGTTTCGAGCGGTACATATATGTACACCCAATAGCTGTCAGGATGATTCCCAGGAGTGCCAGCACGCTCAGAAAGATCGCCAAGAGGACACCACTCGACTTACTACTGTCATCTGAAATGGAACAAAGAAACCGCAATATTAGTAATACAGAGTTACCCACTGTTAAACTAATTTGAGTCTGTTCATTTTCACTGCCAAGTATGCTGAAAATTTATTTCTTTATTTTAGTTTACCGATATTTAATGTCGGAGTTTGAGGATACTTGCCAAGAGAGCTATAACAGAGAAAGACCGTATAGGAGATGATATATATATCCTTAGGCTCGTTGACCAATTTCTACATTATCTCTTCCTATGAAAGACATACAAGAACAGAATATGGAAATCTCAACAAAATCTTAATTCATATTAAAACTCGATAAAGCGATTGTAAAATTTACACTACCAATCCAAGAAATGCCATGTTCCCAAAATGGGAACTGGTTCATGTGATTTAGAACGACTTTTTTGTTTTAATTTGTTTTTTGTTTTATTTTTTTGTATTCATTAACACATTTATTAACATATTTTCAGTATTTCAATGTGTTTACATACCAAATTAATGTCAACTTATTAAGTTGTACTTACCCGGCAGTCCACCCATGTGTGACGTAGTGTTGTTGAATGGTAATGAAGTAGTAATATCGGATATGTTCGTGGCATGAGGGGTTGCCACCGACATGGAGACAGAAGTCTACCAATGCAGAATTCAAACCTGCCAAAAAAATAATAAATCAAAAATGTTAAATTCGCTATTCTGGCGAGTGTAGTTTAAACAATAACAAAAATGCATCTTTTTTCTGCAATCCTTCTAAAAATAGAATTTCTGCTAAATGTTATCAGAACGAAACCAGAAATAAATTTTACTATTTAATTCATTGTGTTTACTGGTAAATACAATGCTTCCTGTATGTTAACTTCTGTTCTTGTTCAAGGTCGCCAGCCAAATCGTTCGTTTGTTGTTTAAAACAACTTGTTACTTCTGAATGATTTTAGTCTCATTACCTGAATAATGTAGATCTTGACTGCCAGTTTAATCCATCATAAGAAGATAAAATCATTAATATTGTCAGAAGCGGTAAAAATAGTAAGGGACTTAATATAGAACCTTGTGGAAATCAATCTTTTGATAAAAATTACGAGGAGAAAAGAATTCGAAAGAAGTGACGTAATACCTACGTGTTATACCGTATAAAGCAGATTTAATACAAACTCATTTAGTTAAAGGTCAGAGGTCAAGGATATACATTAAAATACATGATTTAAACAAGCAAGTTTTCTGGTGTTTATCTTCAAGGGCTAGAAATAGATAAAAAGAGACCTTATCAATTTCTTTTGTTGATAAATTCATGAGGACCTACAGAAAAAAAACAGTACACTTTAATTATCTCTTCCTTTTTGTTTCAGATAGAAGATTCGTCCTGTCCCAATTTAATACATAATTTTATCAAATAAGTGTTTATGGCCTCCTGTGTCAACTTTTTGAAATGTGTCTTATTTCCTGTAAATACTCTCAACAATCAGAAGTAGACTAGGATGAGTCAGAGTGTAACAGAACTGTGCCCCTTAGAGCACTCAACCCTCCCTGCTACCTCTTTACGTACTTCCTTTAAAATGTTCTAGAATTATCAATTTTACACTCAGATTTCATCTTTTTCAACTAAGTACATTTTTCACATTGAATATAATTTTAATTCGGTAGGACTAACACAAAAGGAAGAGGGAAAAATGGACACGTTCGTACGTCATGCAAAAAAAAGGTAGTACTACATGTATCACAATAAAGGTGGTAGAACTACATGTATCACAAGGCGATAGAACGACATGTATCACAATAAAGGTGGTAGAACTACATGTATCACAATAAAGGTGGTAGACCTACATGTATCACAATAAAGGTGGTAGAGCTACATGTATCACAAGAAACGTGGTAGAACTACATGTATCCGTGAAAGGCGATAGAACTACATGTATCACAATAAAGGCGGGAGAACTACATGTATCACAAGGTGGTAGAACTACATGTATCACAATAAAGGCGGTAGAACTACATGTATCACAATAAAGGCGGTAGAACTACATGTATCACAAGGCGGTAGAACTACATGTATCACAATAAAGGTGGTAGAACTACATGTATCACAATAAAGGTGGTAGAACTACATGTATCACAATAAATATGGTAGAACTACATGTATCACAAGGAAGGTGGTAGAACTACATGTATCACAATAAAGGTGGTAGAACTACATGTATCACAAGGCGGTAGAACTACATGTATCACAATAAAGGTGGTAGAACTACATGTATCACAATCAAGGTGGTAGAACTGCATGTATAACAATAAAGGTGGTAGAACTACATGTATCACAATAAAGGTGGTAGAGCTACATGTATCCGTAAAAGGCGATAGAACTACATGTATCACAATAAAGGCGGTAGAACTACATGTATCACTAGAAAAGTGGTAGAACTACATGTATCACAATAAAGGCGGTAGAACTACATGTATCCGAGAAAGGCGATAGAACTACATGTATCACTAGGAAGGTGGTAGAACTACATGTATCACAATAAAGGTGGTAGAGCTACATGTATCACAAGGTGGTAGAACTACATGTATCCGTGAAAGGCGATAGAATTACATGTATCACAATAAAGGCGGGAGAACTACATGTATCACAAGGTGGTAGAACTACATGTATCACAATAAAGGTGGTAGAACTACATGTATCACAATAAAGGCGATAGAACTACATGCATCACAATAAAGGTGGTAGAGCTACATGTATCACAAGAAACGTGGTAGAACTACATGTATCCGTGAAAGGCGATAGAACTACATGTATCACAATAAAGGCGGGAGAACTACATGTATCACAAGGTGGTAGAACTACATGTATCACAATAAAGGCGGTAGAACTACATGTATCACAATAAAGGCGGTAGAACTACATGTATCACAATAAAGGTGGTAGAACTACATGTATCACAAGGCGGTAGAACTACATGTATCACAATAAAGGTGGTAGAACTACATGTATCACAATCAAGGTGGTAGAACTGCATGTATAACAATAAAGGTGGTAGAACTACATGTATCACAGGGCGGTAGAACTACATGTATCACAATAAATGTGGTAGAACTACATGTATCATAAGGCGGTAGAACTACATGTATCACAATAAAGGTGGAAGAACTACATGTATCCGAGAAAGGCGATAGAACTACATGTATCACAAGAAAGGCGGTAGAACTACATGTATCCGAGAAAGGTGGTAGAGCTACATGTATCACAAGAAACGTGGTAGAACTACATGTATCCTTGAAAGGCGATAGAGCTACATGTATCACAATAAAGGTGGTAGAACTACATGTATCACAATAAAGGTGGTAGAACTACATGTATCACAAGAAAGGCGGTAGAACTACATGTATCACAATAAAGGTGGTAGAACTACATGTATCACAATAAAGGCGGTAGAACTACATGTATCCGAGAAAGGCCATAGAACTACATGTATCCGAGAAAGGTGGTAGAACTACATGTATCACAAGAAAAGTGGTAGAGCTACATGTATCACAAGAAACGTGGTAGAACTACATGTATCCGTAAAAGGCGATATAACTACATGTATCACAATAAAGGCGGTAGAACTACATGTATCCGAGAAAGGCGATAGTACTACATGTATCACAAGGAAGGTGGTAGAACTACATGTATCACAATAAAGGTGGTAGAGCTACATGTATCACAAGAAACATGGTAGAACTACATGTATCCGTGAAAGGCGATAGAACTATATGTATCACAATAAAGGCGGTAGAACTACATGTATCACAAGGCGGGAGAACTACATGTATCACAAGGTGGTAGAACTACATGTATCACAATAAAGGCGGTAGAACTACATGTATCACAAGGCGGTAGAACTACATGTATCACACGAAAGGTGGTAGAACTACATGTATCACAAGGCGGTAGAACTACATGTATCACAATAAAGGTGGTAGAACTACATGTATCACAATAAAGGTGGTAGAACTACATGTATCAAAATAAAGGCGGTAGAACTACATGTATCTGAGAAAGGCGATAGAACTACATGTATCACAATAAAGGTGGTAGAACTACATGTATCACAATAAAGGTGGTAGAACTACATGTATCACAATAAAGGTGGTAGAACTACATGTATCAAAATAAAGGCAGTAGAACTACATGTATCACAAGGCGGTAGAACTACATGTATCACAATAAAGGCGGTAGAACTACATGTATCACAAGGTGGTAGAACTACATGTATCACAATAAAGGCGGTAGAACTACATGTATCACAAGGCGGTAGAACTACATGTATCACACGAAAGGTGGTAGAACTACATGTATCACAAGGCGATAGAACTACATGTATCACAATAAAGGTGGTAGAACTACATGTATCACAATAAAGGTGGTAGAACTACATGTATCACAATAAAGGTGGTAGAACTACATGTATCACAATAAATGTGGTAGAACTACATGTATCACAATAAAGGTGGTAGAACTACATGTATCACAATAAATGTGGTAGAACTACATGTATCACAATAAAGGCGGTAAAACTACATGTATCACAAGGAGGTGGTAGAACTACATGTATCACTAGAGACTGTAGAGCTACATGTATCCGAGAAAGGCGATAGAACAACATGTATCCGAGAAAGTAAAGGAAGGAAAATCCAGTAGTACTATCACACAAAACGAGGAAGAAAAATGAGGAAGGAAATAGGGTCGCGGCAGAACTATCACGAAATGAGGAAATAGGAACAAGGCAGAACTATCACACAATAGCAGCGTGAAGGATAACAAAGATCGGGTCCAGGGGAAAAACAGAAGAAACCCTGGAATAAGGTAATTTCTTGTCTGCTCATCAGCGATGTTTGCTTTCTACAGTTTCCGTTCTCTCGTACTTACCTTAGTGTTATGTTTCCAATAAGGGATTACGAGACATGTTAGGATTCTGGATGATTTTTTTTTCGATGAGATTAGACAGTAAAATGTGTTTTAATCTATTTAATTCCAACTTTATATTTGATTAGTTTTAACAAGTTCATATTTCATGCACAAGCATGTCACCGTAGCGGAAAGACATCTAAAGGTGTAACCTATCGTAATCTAGGAGACTGCAAGATTGTGTACACAACACTGTACAACAGATTACGTATAGTCAACTTACATATGTGGATTTTAAAAATGATTAAAATTACCAAAAACTTGTAAAATCAAGTTTTCCAAGACACGTGTGTAGATATTGCTAATTTATCAATATCTAAAAGAGACTGTATAAGTCGCATACACGTGCACGTGCAAATGCACGTGAATATGTACATTTCATAAAATCAGATAAGAAGACAAAAACCATTGTCATTGTTTTAAGAGTATGGTTAGCATACATTTTCCTCTTTATATTTCTTTACAAAGTAAAGGTTTCCAACATGTCGATTCAATCGATATTTTCTCCATCAAAAGATGAAAGTTGAGACTATCCTATTATCACAAGACAGATACAACGTGAAACTGATACAACCTGACTACAATAGGATGTCGATCGTATCATAAAAGTTCAAAGTTCAATTAGTTTTTATTTCAAAGTTGATAATGTTTTCTGTTCCTTTCGGTTGTATACATGTAATCTTACCTGGTCAGTTTGTTAAATTATCCCGTGAACATGACATGGTCAGTCTATTATTATCCGCTCTGCATCATCAGTGCCTCATCAAAATGTCGGTTAAATGTCGATCACATGACTCAGGTGTCCATTTCTGAAAATCATAACTGCCTTCTACTTACAACTGTTTTCATAAATATGGATTCAATCTTGCGTTGCTGAGCGTGTGTCCATACGAAGTAGATGAAAAAGAGACGACTTTACCAAAACATAGTCATATTAGGTTAAACAATAGCGTCCCTACGCCCCTACAACATTTATAACCAAATAACGTTTGTACAGGTAAAGTTGTACAGGTGTGCAAGTACATACAGGCCCGACCAGGTACAAGGTACACTATGTACACAGAGATAACGACCACACATATGTGCTACTGTCGTAAACAGTGTGTCAAATATACTAACAATGAAAAAGAAAAGCATACCATTAAGATATTTTACGATATATATTTTTTTTCTTCTTTTAAGGTTTATGTACTTTTCATAACCATTGCAAAGGTTAGATGGCATTAATATCAGTCATTAATGCCATGACATAGTCAATAACACCATGCGTTGAAGAAGATCTGACATAAGTTTCCATTCTAAACGCGTCTCAGTTGGAACAAAATGAAAAATCGCTGATTATTTAAAAATATCATCTGAAATGAAAACGAATGGAAGATATTTTATCATGTTAAGTAGATCCTTCTGTAAAAAGTAATTGAAACACCATTTTACCAAACAGATTCAAAATCTAAACCGTCGATTTTCTCACTCTATCACTCTCTTCTATGGTGACGTCACAATGCATATAACGCCATGCACTTATGACGTCATAATAAAAGCATTGAGAACTAATCATTACTTCGCTCGGATATATTACACAAATGCCATAAAAAAAACTTATAAAAATAGAGGTTACACAGCGATTGAGTGTGGTATATATGTCTTTCAGTCGATTATTTTTCAAAAGTTGTTAAAAATCAATAAACAAAGCGAGTTATTATTGGACTTGTTACAAATTATAAAATAAAAATATATTGCTTTGTTATCTTCAAAGAAACAATGACTGAAGCTCCTATAAAAATCAGTTATTACGAAAACAATTGTGGTCTACTTACATGTATTTCCGTGAGCGCTCCTTCGGTCAGAGTTCATCCAGTAAGCCAATCAAAGCATGGTAAAATGTTATACCGAATGTGGTATAACATGTATGTGTGTATGTACATTACCCAACCGTAGAATACCGAAGGCTGTAACCTAAATATCAAAAATATATTAATTAACATTGTTCAAATTCAAAACTATTCACTTATACACTTGCATAAATACACTTTGAATATATAGCCATGATATATATGAAATACTGAGATGAAAAATACTGCAACGTCTTTCAACTCTAGATAGCAAATACTGAAAAATGCCAGGTTCTCCTAAAGTTTTTTTATCAGTTTCAAAATTAAGATAAAGAGGGACAACCAATTCCTGGCGAAATTGAAAATATGACCTAAATTATTCATATTTTTTACTTTAATGTCTAACACTTCATCCACACATGCCGTAAAAGATACAATGCATCGACATACAACGCACAGAATATCACACACAGCGAAAGTAAAACTAAACATACGTCTCGAAAATACATACTACACGTAGTATATAGGACATACATGTATATATATATATAAAGAAAAGTAAATGAATGATCTACTATAGACGAATTATACATAGGTAATTACTGTCATGTAGTAGGTCTTCTGATTTCCAAGAGTTACTGCCCTTTCTTTCACTCTGTCAGTACACGATGGTATATGATAAGCTTGACAGTCGACGGGGCCGAGAATGTTAGTAGTAGAAGTAGGTACAAGTCTAGTGGTATGAATTCATTCAATTTTACGGTATAATTTGATTCTCAGGTTTGCATTATTTGTACGAAGAAGAAAATGTATGATCCTCCATAGGCTATCAACAGAATAAAAGAGCAGAGTTATCCAATATGATAGAGACCACAAAAGCAGATATCATGATAGGCACAGTTTCCTGGTTGGATAGTAGTATCAAGTCAGCTGAAGTTTTCCCCTAGAATTACAAATCATACCGGAAGGACCGAGCTCACAGAAGTTGAAGCGGTGTATTTATCCTCGTCTCCAAAGACATTGGCAGTTCAGAACCAGAGGAGTTGAAAGTTGATGGGGATGATGAGTTAGTCTGGTGCCAGATCACCACCAAAGGTACCAATAATCTTTATGTTGTTTCCTTTTATCGCCCACCCAGCAACAAAGACAGTACCTGCCTACAAGTTCTCCAAACCTCAGCATGATTTCTAGAAATGGATCACATATATGGGTTGGAGTTGACTTTAACCTTAGAAATATTGACTGGGATACGAACAGATTTAAGGAAGAGGGCTGCCAGTCTACCTTGAGTAATCTCCTTATTGACATCATGGCTGATGCTTCGCTTGAACAGGTTGTCAGTTTACCAACTCATATAACCGAGACAACTCGGAATATATTGGATCTATTCATTACCAACAATGGTGCATTGATAAATAAGGCCGAGGTTATGCCGAGGATCTCCGACCATGAAGCCGTCTTTGTGGAGAGTAGCCTGAGACCAGCCAAGACACGCCTACCTCCTAGGAAAGTTTACCAGTACCATCGGGCGGACTTCACTAAAATTAAGGAAGAACTGACATCTTTTTTCATTGGTTTTGAGTGTACAAGTGGTGATAAGTCAGTAAACGATCTATGGAATGACGTTAAAGGGGAGATCAACCATCTTATGAACTCTCATATACCACCAAAGACCCTTTCAGGGAATAAAAAGAATAAACCATGGATAGACAGACATACTAAGGCTCTACTTAAAAGAGATAAACTATTCTGGCGACAAAAGAGAACCAGGAGACCATGGGATATCTCTAAGTACAGGGAACTGAAGGCTCGTGCCCAGAAAGCTATGAGGCGGGCTTACTGGCGTTATGTAGATAACATCATTAAGGAAGGGGATACGGATGTATCTGACAGGCCACAACTACATCAAGTCTCTCCGTACTGACAGCAGCGGGGTGTCTCCACTAAAAGACCAGGGACATGTATACCACTCAACAAAGGACAAAGCAACCATTCTTAATCAGCAGTACTGCTCAGTGTTAACGCATGAGCATGATGGACCACTAACTACAAGGAGTGGTAATCCCTTCCCAAGTATGGAGGACATCCACATTCATAATGCTGGGGTTGTAAATCTCTTTAACAAACTTAATATCCACAAGGCAAGCGGACCCGACTTAATGCCAGCCCGTGCATTGAAGGAGTTGGCACAAGAGGTAGCTCCTTTCCTAACCATCATTTTAATAAGGCACTATCTACTGGACGTATTCCATCGGATTGGAAGACAGCAAATGTCACCGCTGTTTTTAAGAAAGGTGAGAGATTCCGTGCGAGTGATTGTCGGCCGGTGTCACTGACTTACATTTGTTGTAAGTTGCAGGAGCACGGCATTGTTTCCAACATTCTGTCACACTTGGATTGGCACAACATCCTTGTTGATTGTCAACGCGCGAGAAATTGCGAAACTCAGCTCCTTACTTTCGCTCATGAGCTGACTAGGGAGCTTGACAGGGGCCGACAAACAGATCTCGTGGTGTTGGATTTTTCCAAGGCTTTTGATCGAGTTCCCCATCGACGTTTCCTAGCCAAGCTTGGCCACTACGGCATCAGAGGGAGCACTTAGGCCTGGATCCAGGATTTTCTCACTGATAGGACACAGAAAGTGGTGGTTGATGGTGAAAAAATCTGACAGTGCTCCAGTATGTAGTGAGGTCCCCCCAGGGTACAGTCCTCGGACATTTGCTCTTCCTCATCTTTATAAATGACTTGCCCGAGTGTGTGGATTCAAGCATGCGCCTATTCGCAGATGATGTTATTCTGTACATAACTGTTCGAGACCCATGTGATCAGCAAATGTTACAAAAAGATCTGACCAAATTGGCTGAATGGGAGAGCTGCTGGGGTATGCTATTCCACCCAGAAAAGTGTTCAGTGTTAAATGTGTCGTGTAAGAGAAATATTCCCAGATATCCATTTAAGTTGAAGGGAACCACCTTGGAGAACAATACCATCGTCACCTACTTAGGTGTTGACCTTACTTCCACCCTTTCTTGGTCTCACCATATTGACAGAATATCTGGCAAGACCAGCCGCACCCAAGGTTTTCTCCGGAGGAACCTGAAGATCAGTAGTGAGGAAACCAAGTCAGCAGCATATCGGACGTTAGTAAGACCTATAATCGAGTACGCTTCATGTGTCTGGAATCTTAGTGTCCAAAACCGAACAAGATAAGCTCGAGAAAGTCCGAGCGTCTAGGTATGTAACAAACAGATATAGGAACACCTGAAGCGTGTCGGATATGCCAGATAACCTACATTGAGAGACCCTTGCAACTAGACGGCACAAGGCAAAGCTGATGATGATGTTTAAGATCATCAATGGGCTTGTAGATATCCCTCCTGACTCATACATGCAAGCACACGATAACAAACGCACTAGCATAGGACCCAGCACAAAAAACAATACAGAACAATATACACTAGGACTGACACACTCAAATACAGCTTCTTCTTCCCAAGAACGATTTCTGTGTGGAAAGCTCTTCCAGCCAGTGTAGCGGAGGCAGATAGTCCAGGGGCCTTCAAAAAGGGCCTAGCTGCACTGCGTATGTAATTTCAAGCTGTAAACGCACCACACATTCAATCACTTTTCTAACAACACGGAGATTTTGGGACGAATGAAACACATTTTTTTTTTTTAATTTTATTTTTTTTTATCTTATTACTTGGTACGAAACACCTTTCCAAATATTACATGTGAAGTCCACTTAGTTCCAAAGCCACATAGAAGAGGAGGAGTGTGATAAGTTGTTTAGCTGAAATCTGAAATTTGGAATGATTGACATCACGAGAAAGTCCCCGGAGAGAAGGAAGAATATGGGACTTATAGATTTTTATTAAAGTTCGTCTACTTTACATATAAATGTTTACAAAGGATACTTACCCGCTTTGATACTTGTTTGCATGTGTTGTCTATGTGGCTAGCCCATTTACAGTAGCTTAAAGGTAGCTGTAATGATTATCTACACAAATGTACAAAAACAAACTTTACTTTCGATGGACTGAATTTTGCCGATCACTTTTCTGACCAATTTTGAACTTCGTCGGGTCTTTGTTCTTTCACCAAAAAGAATGCAGTGTCTTCACACAATTTGGAAAGTATCAGTAAAGTCCTGCGTAACCCCAGTGTTTGTAGTTTTACCGAAGACTTAGTATTTTTTTATTACTTGCATAGTTTCCCGTCCATATCACAGTTACATGTAGTTAAATACTCATTCATTCCCTTTAATTGCGCTATACCACACTGGACTGCTTTTTATTTATCTTTGTTTTACAAACGTTCATTTTTTTTAACATTTTTAAAAATATATATGAGTTGATTACAAGAGACTGACCTAGCTAAAACCCCCGTGTAAGCTTTATAACTATTTAGATATAACTTAACGTTTCGTGCTTTTCCTGGTAGCATAGCACAGCACTAGCCCGTTTTTAGAAAGTGATCACGGTGTAGGGGAAATAACTCTCATAAAAATATCAAACACGGAAGCAAACCGGATGTGTAATAGTATTAATAAAGCATGAGTGATCCTGTGCTCGGTGAAATTCTCAGGTGAGGTGTGCAGGGTAAAAACGCAGTTATCGAGACCTGGTATGAAAAGATTTTTATTTATGTTTTATAATTTGTTATTTCTGCAATAATCTAACATTGACCATGGAGGATTTATTGATGTCAGATGGTGATGTGATAGCGAAAGTGATTATATAAAAAATACTTATGATGTGGGTATCGTATATAGTGTACCATGTAAAATCAATGTCAACATTTACATTGCTAGCTACATAGATATCTATGACTAGCTGTACCAGTTACTGACAGAAGGTTTAGGCTGTAGCGTGTGTAGGATCCGGTTGCAATGGGAATTTTTTGCTCACGAAGGTTTGCGTCACTTTCGAAGCGGACATCAAGTAATGCGTATGTTTGTATACGCGAAAGATGATTTAGCAGAAGAATCTCGGACTAGTGAGAGATCCAGATTCCAACTAGACGAGTCTAATTAAGTGTCATTCATGCATCGGAGGAATGTAATGCTCAACAGGAATGCATTATTTATTGATTTAATTAATAACTTTTTCCATATATGGTAATAGAAAAAAATGTCAAGTCACACTTGTTGATATCTTTTCCGTTGTAAAGTTCCCTGTAGTTAAATTATTTTAATTCGTGTTCCTGCTCAGCAGCAAATTCGTGTGTATGTACATGGTAAGTAATATTATTCATTTTGTTCTGTATATTAATAGAATAGGTTACTTCAAAACTCGCAGCCCCTCCATCTACCAGGAACTTGTTGTAGACAGTACAGATACATATACAACTATATGGAGTTATTGGGCACAATTTTGTCTGACTTGAGCAAGATTACTGTAGTCACAAACTGGGCCTGTTATACTTGTGAGTTTACAGCTAGTGCCCACTGCTAAGGCCTTGTGTAGCTTACACCATATGTATCACTTAAAAATATTAATATTCTATGTGGTGATTACCTGACATACAGGTAAATACGGTGTCATTTGATCATTTACAATTTTTGTCGGAGAAGTATAAGTGTCACTAATGATGCAATATTTCCACTTTTTTTTATATAACTTTCTTAATTTTGATAGCCAATCACTTGCCTTGTTGAAATTTTCTGATTTTCCTGTTTAGATGTAAATGAAATTAAAGCAAGGGTTGAATAAGTTGAATTCCATGAAATAATTCCTGTGTGTATTTCTGGCTTTTTCTAACTTGCTAACAAAAAACAGATTTTTTAAATAAATCTTAACAGATAACAACTTAAAATGCAACATAAAAGCAGCCTATCAAAATTGTGACGTCTTGTTGTCAAAGCATATTGTCTAACTATCTGTTGTCTAAAACATGCTAATATTTTCTTAACTGTTTTGAACACTGTTCCATTTTTTTCTTGGATCACTTTTTTCATTTTTTTTTCTGTAGAATTGTAATAAAAAGAAAATTTACTAATTTCCCATAAAAAATCATATATTTTTTACTACTTCCTATGACAAGTATGTATACATTTCTCCTTTGATGTGCTGTCCTTCATACGAAATGAAATGGGAAGCCCTTAGATATGTCTTTTGTCGGCTAAGATCGGCATTACCGTATATATACCAGTGTAACATGGTATTGTGAATTAAGTGTGCTGAAATGAACTGGTATTAAAATACCATAGTTGTGAAATGAACCCGACTACCTCCCATCCCCATGGTAAATTTTCATCACCTCATTTTTCAAATTGAAATTTTTCATTAAATTTTTTTTATATAAATGTGTTCCTTTACACATGATTAAATTAAAAAGAAATAACAAAAGGTTGGAAAATTTACTAGGAATGGGCAGGGACTTAATTTTTCCATGCCACGAGTTAGGAAAGCATTTCACTATTATATTTCTGATTAACTTCTTTTCACCAAATCTCTTTTAATTTACCTCAGTTTATGTTTCTTTCATATAAACAACCAAAAATATGTCTGCGGTTTGGAAATTTTGTATATTACTAAAATGTTTTGCATGTTGCAATGATATGATAGGGTGAACATGCATTCGGTTTCTTGCCAAGCATATCCAGCTCCAAATTTCCTATCCATGTTTGAATTCAGAGAACTTATCGATTCTTACCTAAATTTTTGTGAAACTAAATTGTTAACTTTGTTTTCATTTCTTTTCAGATTTTTTCATCTGAGATGTTTATTGCCCTCATATGACCCTTGAACTTCTGACCTTCGAACAGGTGCTTTAGCAATCATGGAAAGAAATCCATTGGGATTACTACCTTTTGTCCTTCTGTTCTTCTTCATTATTTCATCTACGAATTCTTCCACCACTACTTTTTATAATACTGAACAAATCTCACACTCTTCCACTGGTACGACAAATCCTGACCATGAGGTGCATCCCTCTAACCACAGCTCAAATCACACCGAACATGAGGAGTCACATGGTCACCATGTGGAAGTTGTAGAAATCCGTTATGAAGAAATAAGCTCCCCATTCCTGTTTACAGTTGTTGTTTTGGTCGCTGTTATCAGTAAAATGGGTAAGTAACTTGTAATCTTTATTGTGTTGATAACGTTAGATTTACGTCCCTGTATATAATGATATGTAGATGTTAGATTTACGTCCCTGTATATAATATATGATATATGTATATAATGATATGTAGATGTTAGATTTATGTCCCATAATGATATATGTATATACGTCCCTGTATATAATGATATATGTAGATAATGTTAGATTTACGTCCCTGTATATAATGATATATGTAGATAATGTTAGATTTACATCCCTGTATATAATGATATATATAATGTACGTCCCTGTATATAATGATATATGTAGATAATGTTAGATTTACGTCCCTGTATATAATGATATATGTAGATAATGTTAGATTTACATCCCTGTATATAATGATATATGTAGATAATGTTAGATTTACGTCCCTGTATATAATGATATGTAGATAATGTTAGATTTACGTCCCTGTATATAATGATATATGTAGATAATGTTAGATTTACGTCCCTGTATATAATGATATATGTAGATAATGTTAGATTTACGTCCCTGTATATAATGATATATGTAGATAATGTTAGATTTACGTCCCTGTATATAATGATATATGTAGATAATGTTAGATTTACATCCCTGTATATAATGATATATGTAGATAATGTTAGATTTACGTCCCTGTATATAATGATATGTGTAGATGTTAGATTTACGTCCCTGTATATAATGGTATGTAGATAATGTTAGATTTACGTCCCTGTATATAATGATATATGTAGATAATGTTAGATTTACGTCCCTGTATATAATGGTATGTAGATAACGTTAGATTTACGTCCCTGTATATAATGATATATGTAGATAATGTTAGATTTACGTCCCTGTATATAATGATATTTAGATAATGTTAGATTTACGTCACTGTATATAAATGACATATGTTGATAATGTTAGATTTACGTCCCTGTATATAATGATATATGTAGATAATGTTAGATTTACGTCCCTGTATATAATGATATATGTAGATAATGTTAGATTTACGTCCCTGTATATAATGACATATGTAGATAATGTTAGATTTACGTCCCTGTATATAATGATATATGTAGATAATGTTAGATTTACGTCCCTGTATATAATGATATATGTAGATAATGTTAGATTTATGTCCCTGTATATAATGGTATGTCTATAGACCAACCTGTCACCTTGACCTTTCCTAGAATATTTTGATTGATGAGTCACATCTAATTCTTTGGTACTGTTTGTTAGGTGAGGATTTTGTTACTTTTATGCTCCCATTCTGTGAAGTGTGATTTGCCTATAATCTTTATCAAAATGAAACATGCACTCTACAATTAAGGTATTCTTGGCAAACTTTAGAGCAAGCATAATTCCTTAATTAGTACTTCAAACAACAGCAAATAAAAACTTGTTTTATTCTTTATAAAACTTAAGAATATTGAATAATGAGACTGTGAAAACTCCGTTCATGTTAAAGGATAAACACACCTTGCACATATTGCAGTCATGAATCTTTAATTCTGAGTGAAACTTGAACATGATTATCCATTAAATTTATGATGTAATTTGAACAACTGTTCAAGTTCAACATTGGTCATGTTGTGCGATTTGAACAACACTACTTTTGTTACAAGGAATCAGAAGCATAGAACATTGATATTGTTTTGAAAAATATGTTTAAAGATGTGTTAAAACATTTCTGAAATTCTGCCAAAAAGCTTGTGTTGTTGATTAAATTAACATTCATTCCAAATGATATGGTCAGTTGTGTTTAAAGCATTTTTAATTTAAATATCTGTTGAGTAATACATATTAACAAATTAAAGACTTAATTAGAAAAAGAAATTATACCTGAGTTGAAATCTTGTTTTTTTTGTGTTTGTAACATAGATATTGAAAACTACAGTGTACATGGGTATATTTTAGTTATCTTACATGGTATGTCAGTGGAAATATACAAACGAAACATTGAACATGTGCATTACTTATGTGTTGGGTAGTTGTGTTAAAAATATATTAGACTCCAGGTAATTCGGGAACTATGATATACAATTTGCTTATATTATAAATATCGATGTAACATAGTCATCATAAGGTTCAGAGGGTTTTAAAGACTCTTTAATTTGTTTTTATTTACATGTTTACAGGTTTTCACTATGCGAACAAACTTTCATCCATCGTCCCTGAGTCGTGGTGAGTTAACATTAAACAGTATTACTGAGTATTTTTCTGGTGATAATTTGGATCCAAGGTTATTTTATAAGTATAATTGTAGGTAATAATGAAATTAGTTAAATTTGCAGGATTGATTAACTATTCTGATAGAAAATTTTATTTTTACGTGACTGAACATGGGATTTACCTTGTAATGAATAAACTGAATTTTTAGCCCACCATCATGAGGTGTTGGGTTATTCCAATCACCCAATGTCTGTAGTCTGTCCATCGTCTGTTTGTAAACAATTCTTGTTATCATTATTTCTTACCAAATGCTGCATAGATCATTATCATATTTCTGATGGAGGTTCCTCTTTGTCCCAAGTTGTGCCTGGTTGAATTTGGGACTGATCAGAAAAACAAAATGGCCGACAGGTGGCCATCTTGGACTTTGCCTATTAAAGTTTGTTATCCCTATTTCTTCAGAAGCAGTGAATGGATCTCTCAAATTTCATACGTAGGTTCCTTTTGGCCCCTGATTAGCCCATTTAATTTTGGGAGTGTTTTCGGAAGTAACAACATGGCTTCCAGCCAACCATCTTGGATTCGGCAATTAATGATTATCGTCGCTGTTTCTGCAAAACAGTGTTCAAATATCTTATCATTGATAGCAAAAATAGAGAAGGGAAAAGAAGAGAGAGAAAAGATCCAACTTTCAAAGAACAATAAATGATCTAACGATGGTGGATGCCAAGATCCCTTTAGGATCTCTTATCTTCTATACAGCTGTATTACCTGAAGGGATTAAAACCACCCCGCGATCCCACCTGAGCGATGTCGTGTGAACATCACTGCTGCAGCAATGATGAGCGATTGGGATTATAAACAGCCTTCTTTTTATATGGGCGATGTCGCGAGAACATTGCTCCATCTACGATGATGAGATATGGATAATTTTTAGGCAAATTTTTCTTCTATCTACAGGTTTAGAAATGTTCGGGATATTGTACGTACTTTACAAAAATCTTCATGGGCCTAACATGTGTTTACAGTCCATTTTCAGTCGTGTGGCACTGACTAACTTTTTTTTTCACTACACCGTCTTACCGTATGTTTTTCTTTCATTTACGGTGACAATCCTAAAGTTCGCTTTACCTTGTGCCAATAAACTGCATCATTTTCATATTGTTGCAATATTGAATAAGAATTTGTTTATACTAAATTCTTGCCAGACGTTTTTTTCTTCGTTTTTTTTTTTTTGCTAGTAGACCTCTTTCCAGGTTCGCGCTGGTGTATTCAACGGACAGGAAGGATATAGAAAAAACATTTCAAATTTATGTTTGAATCATATCATATTATATCTAGTTGTTGGCTGAGTAATTATTATACAGATACAACAAAATCAGTACGGAACTCTCATAAACGGTCAATCTGAGCATCTTAACAAGTTGTGTTTAAATGTATGTCAGCAAAAAAAGTGACATCTGAGATTATGTGAATATAGTAACGTGTTTTCTAGTACGTGGTGATCAGCAAAAAGCTCGCGTTTATGAAAGGAAAGATTACTAAGAATAAGATAGATTTACTGTGTGACGGCATAGAGGGATGTTCCACAGTCAGCCAGTTGTACTTAACTTTGTTTAAGTTATCAAACGTTGTATTCAAAAGTGTGAATGATTTTTTTCTGGTGATTTCAAGCATTTAGCGCATTGTATGTCACAAAATTTCACACAGGACTTAACAGAAACTTAAAAGAGGATTAGTGTGGCGCTGAATTTGCAATACTTAACAGAAGATCAGTGTGGTGCTGGATTCACGAATGTTTGACATGTAAATGTACATTTTACATGTACAGCAAGGAAACATGTGACAGTTCATGTTATTGCTAAAAGTTAATCCCTGTCACCCATCATTGCAGCAATGTCCCAGTGGACTGATATAAACATGTCTGAACCGTATACTGTTACTTAATCTCTTTCGCCTGCCTTCGCTATGATGTCGCAGCAACTGAATCTACCACTTTTTTCCGTCTTGCCACATCAATTGTCTGTGTATTTAACTTCACGCTATCTTTACTGACTGAAAAATTAAAATAAAATAAAATTTGCTGCTTATATTACTATGTAGTACTATAAAAGCAGTAGTCAGTAGTGTTAAGCCATTAACTTCCTGTTATTGTCACAGAAGTGAAATACATGAATATTTCAAACCACTGTAGAATTTATCTAATTTTTCCAATGAATTAAATAGACACTTTCTTACATAGAGTTAAAACTTGTCATATAAAATTATTGAACATTTTAGATGACTTTAATTCATTATTATAAAACAATTTACTTGTACCACAGTACTTTCCATTGTTTGTTAAAAATGGAAACCCAAAATTTTACAATAACCTGTACTGCTTGTATTAATTAGAAAAATGTAAGAAGTATTTGCATAAATAGTTGAAAAAAATATTCCTGAATTTCTGTTTTTTTAGGAAAATCAAAACTTTATATTTTGATTGTCATGGTGATGTATCTTTTATAACAAAGTACTGTGTTTAGCACTGGCCTGTTTTTGGTCAGGTTTGGTTCTTTCTACATCATTCTGTCCAATATATTGTTGATTTGTAATTTTCAGCCTTCTCATCATCGTGGGAACTGTTTTTGGAACCATCATTTAGTAAGTTTATTTCTTTTTAATATTTTATATATGAAATTGGTTTCATTTTTACTTTTTGATATTGCATTTTGAAAAATAAATATCAATGTTGAAGAAAACTTCCATTTCTGCAGTACACTGTGTTGCCTAGATGAACATATGCAGAGATTTTTGTAGAATTTTCGAGGCGACTTCGGAAAATAGTTAAAAAATTTTGATGAGTCCCATTACTAAGAGATATAGAGGTTCCTCAAAATTTGAGTCAGACAGGAAAATTATGTGTCCAGGACTCAAGAATCCTGAAATTCACTGATGGTATATCTAGCTTCTTGGTGTATAGCAAACAGTATTTTATTTAAACTATCTACCTCAGTTATAATGTCAGTCCAGTTAGATTTATTAGGTCGCCTGAGCCAAAGGCTCATGGTGACCTATTGCCATCATGATTTGTCTGTCGTCGTGCGTCGTTAACTTTTCACATATTCGACTTCTTCTCAAGAACCACTGTATGGATTTTGACCAAACTTGGCACAAAGCATCCCCATGGGAAGCCACTTCACGTTTGCAAAGAAAAAGGGCATGGCCGCAATAGGGGCCCCAGGAGGGGGGAAAAGAGTTTAAATTAGGTAAATCTTTAAAAATCTTCTGCTCATGAACCAATGGTCAGATTAAGTTCATATTTGATATTTAGAGTCCCTATGGCAAGGTCTACAAAGTTTGCGAATAAAAAAAAAATTGGGTCAAAAATGGCCCCATTAGGGGGCGCTCAAAAGGGTCAAAAATTCAACTTTGACTGATTTCAACCAAATTTGGTAGACAGCATCCCTTAGTGAAGGACATATGAAAGCATGTTGAAAAAAGTAATAATGTCCCCTTTGGGGCCCATAAGGGGTGTAAAAGGGGCCATATGTAAAAACCTTCATTAAATGACTACTTCTCAAGAACCAGTGGATGGATTTTGACCAAACTTGGCAGAAAGCATATGCATTGGAAGCCGCTTCAAGTTTGTGAAGAAAAAGGGCATGGCCTCATGAGGGGGAAAAAGGGGAAACTTGATACGAATGTTCTACACAAGGTCCTGGCAAGTGTTTTAACTTTTTGGGGCGATTCAAAATCCAAGATGGCCACCCTGGCCTCTGTTTGGGTAAGACATTATGGACTTCCTCTCAAGAACCATTGGGTGGGTCATGTTCAAACTTGTTACAGATGTTTTACACATGGTCCTGCACAAGTGTTGTTACATTTTTGCAACATTTTTAAATCCCCAGATTATTGACATATATTCCTCAGGTGACCGTTAAGGCCCCTTGGGCCTCTTGTTTAAGTCAATACGTGTATATACTAACAAATGCTGTTTACAATATAGATAGTTGCCAATGTTCCCTTATGTCTCTGGGTCAGATAATATTTGGTAGCCTAATGAGGTCGCAACAGATCCGTCAAGCATTGTCCTTCCTAGATATAAGTTGTGTTGTTTAATGTTTTTTACCCAACATTAACCAGTTAGTGCTATAGTGTTCTCAGACAAAACACATTATCCCAATTGTTGTGGATTGTATGGAATGGACCTCCTGTATGTTGTTCAGTGAGGTAGTCACTATGACAAGGAAACCTCACCTCAAATTGACCGTGGCAGTTATATATTTAAGCATATTTATTTTACCACAATTGGAAAGCAAGTTTTTCCAACTGATATCAATCAATCTTGTTGACTCGCATAAAATCGCGTGAGGGGTCTTAGTGTGGGAGGAAACCGGAGTACCTAGGGAAAACCCACGTGGTTGGGCAGGTGACCTCATACCTTTTCACTTCCATTCTGGGAATGGAACCCCAGACGGCTAGGTGAAAAGGAAGTGCGTTACCACTGCACCACCCGACCATGGCAGTTCATGGGGCGATAAATGTAGCAAAACCTATTGTACGATTAATACGGTTATGTTGATTGGCTGATTGATGCTTAGTCAGAAAATATCAATTGTAAAATTGAGTTACAAGGGTTTTTAATTTTTTTTAGTGACAACATGCCATCAAGTTATAGCTTGTTTAAATAATTATAGAAGGTTTAACACCAACTATTTTGTGTAAGTTTGAAGTTATCTTTATTCAACCCTTATGTCAGGAAAAATTGGTGATATTTACTCTCCAGGGTTCGGTAGTATTTGTAAGGTCCAGTGATAACTTTGGTTTAAATACTTTAAATAAAGAAATTATTGAGACCAGACTGTTCAAACTTAAACCAATATTTCATTCACCGTTGACTTTAGAGATCATACTCTACCCATGTTTCCACTGTGTAATGTTTGCTTTTCCAGCTTTAGTGGTTCTGGTGGCGAGCTGCAGAAATTTTTTACTCCAGAAACTTTCTTCCACTATCTCCTCCCCCCGTAAGTATATTTGTACACAACAGATTTACCAAGTGGTGTTTACATTGGCTCCACCCAGCAGTAGAATTATAGGGTTTAGAAGTTAGGTCTGATGGACCAGAGTTAGATATTTAGACATAGTTTATTAAAATGTTGTTATTCAAAAGGGAACTCTTGAAAGATCAATGGTGACTGGATAGTGGGACAACCAGATTAGTGGTGGCTAGTCAGTGAGACAACCAGATTAGTGGTGGCTAGTCAGTGAGACAACCAGAAAAGTGGTGACTGGATTGTTGGACAATCAGATTAGTGGTAACTGGATTGTTGGACAACCAGATTAGTGGTGACTGGATTGTTGGACAACCAGATAAGTGGTGACTGGATTGTTGGACAACCAGATTAGTGGTGACTGGATTGTTGGACAACCAGATTAGTGGTGACTGGATTGTTGGACAACCAGATTAGTGGTGGCTGGATTGTTGGACAACTAGATTAGTGGTGGCTGGATTGTTGGACAACTAGATTAGTGGTGACTGGATTGTTGGACAACCAGATTAGTGGTGACTGGACAGTGGGATAACCAGATTAGTGGTGGCTGGAAAGTAGGTCAATTTTTGATTAGTGGTGACTGGATTGTTGGACAACCAGATTAGTGGTGACTGGATAGTGGGACATCCAGATTAGTGGTGACAGGATAGTGGGGCAATCTGATTAGTGGGGACTAGATAGTGGGACAACCAGATTAGTGGTGACAGGATAGTGGGGCAATCTGATTAGTGGTGACTGGATAGTGGGACAACCAGATTAGTGGTGACTGGATTGTTTGACAAACAGATTAGTGGTGACAGGATAGTGGTACAACCAGATTAGTGGTGACTGGATAGTGGGACAACCAGATTAGTGGTGACTGGATAGTGGGGCAACCAGATTAGTGGTGACTGGATTGTTTGACAAACAGATTAGTGGTCACTGGGGTGGTGAGATAATTAGATTAGTGGTGACTGGATTGTTTGACAAGCAGATTAGTGGTAACTGGATTGTGTGACAAGCAGATTAGTGGTGACTGGATTGTTTGACAAGCAGATTAATGGTGACTGGGGAGGTGAGACAATTAGATTAGTGGTGACTGGATTGTTTGACAAGCAGATTAATGGTGACTTGGCAGGTGAGACAATTAGATTAGTGGTGACTGGGCAGGTGAGACAATTAGATTAGTGGTGACTGGGCAGGTGAGACAATTAGATTAGTGGTGACTGGGGAGGCGAGACAAGCAGATTAGTGGTGACTGGGGAGGTGAGACAATTAGATTAGTGGTAGCTAGATAGTGTAACGACAGGTATGTTAATGACTTTAATAGTAGTACAAATGAGATTAATAGTGTTATAGTGTTGACTGGTTGGCACGACAATTGGATCAATGATGAGGACAAAATTAATGGTTTTTAGGGTTGAATGGGAAATAGATGATTTACAGCAGTTTTGTTTCGGATACGTAAAACATTCTGGAGTTACTTCCCCATGCAGTAATTGTGTGTTTGAAAATGGGACTTTCTTGATGCTGATAAATTTTCCATTTTGTTGTCATGTTAAGTGTATAACAATATCAGCATTGTGGGTAAAATTCATTGGCATTACAATATAAATTAATGTGAATTGAGAAATATCACTGAACCAATAGAAAGATATTGGTTTTACTGTTGAGAGTCAATACAACTAACTACAGCACATTCTGGGCTCTTGCTTTCAATTACCTATTATTTTCAAGTTTAAATATTTGTACACTTATTGTATCTATCCTTACTTTATATGAACTAAAACAACAAATTTCAAACTTTTTTTCAGAATAATTCTGGAGTCTGCATTTAATTTATATGACAGAACATTTACAGAAAATATTGGCAGCATCCTGATCTTTGCTGTATTTGTGAGTATCAGTTCTAACAAAGATGTCAGCCTGTACTCTTTCACAGACTACTATGAACTGTACTGGGTGTATTCCATATATTAATGGTTATATTTGGTGGTGTAAAACACCATTATAGCTAGACCACCTGTTAGCCTTGATCAAATACTGTCTGTGTGACTATTTGACAATATCCCTTGTATGGACTGTTGGTTGTGGCGGGTGAAAGTTTTAAGTTTCCTTGACTCTTTTTGTCGTTAGATGTTTGATACTAAACAAAATATCCCATATGTACAGTTCTCCTCCCAACCAATACTTGAGCTGGACATAATTCTTACATATACATGTATCTGAATACTTCAGAATCACTTCACTGTGGTTTTGTTGTCGAAAACAGAGGATGATTTCAGATTTTATGCATCTTGTTTTTCACCTTTCATTTGTTTTTTGTTCTAATACTTATCATGACAGGTTTGAATTTTAATAATGTGACAATATTGTATGGAGATTTTGTATTAATTGATTGACTCCATGCCGAAAATTTTCAAATTGAAACTTAGACTTGCACTTATCTAAAGCATACATCATTTTGTTATTATACCTGGGAATGTATTTGTTTGCATGCATATATATAATTAACCGTACTAAAAGTAAACTATGAAAATAAATTATGTATGCTTCGTCTTACACAATTGGACAATTGTCACAGTATAGATAAATATGTCATCAGCTGTACTGTAGGTCTTTAAACCTCATTTTATGATGCAGAACAACTGACAACACAAGTACCACTTAAAGATAGGGTGTGGAAAAATGATAAACACGCAGTGTACCTCTATCAGTTTATTGCTAGGAGGAGGTCGTCACCACACACAAATTAATGAGATATAAACGAAAATCCCTGCAATGAAATAACGTTAAGTTGACAATGCTTAGATTTCAAACTGGTAAATAAAAGTCTTCTCGCGCTATGATAAATTCGCATTATAAGTTACATTTGACTTATTTGTTTAGACATTATAATTACCTGTGACAGTCGTAGTAATACGAAGTCGGATATAAGTTAGAAGCTAATGAAATCTGCAGCAATGTCCATCGTGGTCCCGTAGGTACTAACACCGTCGTTTAAACTGGCGAGATGTGACACGCCTCCCCACCACTTTTATTACACACAAACACGCCCCTTTGCACGTCCAGATTCAGACACCATGCATTCCACTATTTCCACCCGCTGACACCTCCTACAACACTGGACAAACAGGTTTTGGATAAACATAGACTGGGACAACACCTTACCCACATGGACACCATTAATGAACGAGGTAAACCGATGAAGTATACAACAATAACAAAACGATCACATGACAACCAGCACTGGTGTGTGTATGTACACAGACAGAAACAATAACAGATGATCACAGAATGCAGCACTGGACAATTTGACTGACCCTATGACATACCATGAAATAACGTTATACCCTTGTATGGCAGATAGTTCTGGCATTTCTAAATTAATGTTTGGTCAGTCAGTATTCCGAATTCAGTGAAATTCATGTTATGAAAACATGTTAAAAAATTGAACATTTGCGAAGTATTTGCTTTGGAGAATATTTGTTCCTGCACCTTGATCCGACCATATACAAACAATAAAAAAAAGGCATTCAAAACAAAACAAAGCAAATATGATGCAGTAACTCCTTTATGGCAAAATAAACCCTTTAATATGGATACATATTTAATGAACAACAATAGGTGGTTTGGGTGGGCTTATTACCAGTCATGGGCTTATTCCTGAATAGATATAGTAACATTGGTTAACTTGTACATTGATGATGGGAATGTAATTATATCTCAGTGGTGATTTTCAGCCACTGTGTTTTACCATTGAATTTATATAGTCTTTTATAAAAAGTAAAGACAGATCCTTTATTAGTGATATTAAGGAACACATGACTCCAGATATTCTTTATCGTCTTGCAGTTTTGATTATAAGGGAAGGATAGGTGTAGGGGGCTGGTGTTGGATGGGGGAGAGGAATAAACTGGATTTGATAAGTCTTCAAGCGATACAGATTTGAAAGCAGTTTCATATAACATAATGACGAGGAGATTGAGATTTATATAACAGTGATGTCAGTTCTGGATATCAAATTTAACAGAAAATTGTGATCTGTTATACTAACTTCTATGAATTTGTTTCATACATGTCACAATTCATTAACATGTGTTAAAGAAGTCCAGCACTGCATGGGTTGTGTTGAAGAGATAATACTGATTTTAAGGATAGTTGTACATTAATCTGTGTACATGTGGTCTATATACTGGTTTGTGGTACACATGTTGTGGTCCTAACGTAGTGCATGTTGTCATGTTTTACAGGGGACAATTGCAGCATGTTTACTGCTTGGTGAGTATGGTCATGCTCCATAGAAATAATCTCTAAACTTATCCTGCATTTTTGACCTGTCCAGTTTTAACATGATCTTCCTAATTATTAAAAAAATTGTCTGTACTCAGCAAGATAAAAAATGGTATGATTACATTATCCATCCACATGATACAACGTCAGTCTGCAGCTCACAGTTTTAGATAAAACTGGGAAGGAAGCTCAATGTTTTCCCCAAACTAGGTCACTGAAAATGGCATTATGTAGCGATACAGTTCTAATTTGATGAATAAACTGTATAACCTTTATACAAAGGCCACCTGTCTCTGAAGGCCATTTTCTTGTTCCCTATGTAATGCAATTATAGTTATAGAACCTCTATATAAAGACCACCTGTGTATAAAGGCCACCTGTCTCTAAAGGCCATTTTTTGGTTTCCTTATGTAATGCAATTCACAGTTATAGAACCTCTATATAAAGACCACCTGTGTATATAAGGCCACCTGTCTCTAAAGGCCATTTTTAGTTCCCCATGTAATACAATTCATAGTTATAGAACCTCTATATAAAGACCACCTGTGTATAAAGGCCACTTTTCTCTGCCCCCTTTGAGTGGTTTTATAGAAAGGTTTGACTTTATCAATACAAATCCGGTTAAGATATGAAGACTACTGTATTAAAAGCAATGAAGATCTTGCTTTAAATGAGAATTTTTTAAGATCAGTTTTGAAGTTTTACCCATACATACTGTACATATATGTATGTATTATACAAAATGATCGCCCAGTATGTGATTTATATGTTAATCTATGCATTCTATACTACATGTCACCAATATTTTTTCTTTTTTGTTTAATTACGTTAATTTACAGATTAATCATTTTAGCAGTATGTGAAAAATGTCAGCATCATACTTTGAGACTTTTGTGATTTCATTACTAATCTCCATTATTGTTAATGAATGATAGGTTTGTCCCTGATCGGCCTACAGATGACTAGTGCTATGCCTTATGTTGGAGAACCCGTCCAGCTGTTGGTGTTCAGTGCCCTCATTGTTGCTGTGGATCCTGTGGCTGTAAGTGACAAAAAGATATTTTGTTTAAACAATGGACGCTGCTCTTACACTAGATTCCTTAGATATCCATGGAGTGATATTTTGTGAAGTTGTTGTTTTTATGAAACAATGGACACAGCTGTAACACTAGATTCCTTAAATATCCATGGAGTGAGATGTTGTAAGATAGCTAGATGTAAAATATAGTTAAAATCTAATAAAAATAGTTAAAAATGGTATACAAATCAAAGACGTAACAAACTTCATCTGATTTTAAAAAAAAACACATCTTGATTTACATTACCATTCCATAAACTACACTTAGTGATGTAGCTGTGTAATTTATGGAACAGAAGTATAAATCAAGGTATGGTTTTAGTCATTTATAAAAAAGAAAAAACTTTTATTGTCCAGTTATTTTTCTAATGGTCATTAACCAGGGCATTAACAGTTCTGATGACCCAAGGGAGATAATCGCATTTCTTGACCTTTCAGGTGCTGGCCGTGTTTAATGAAGTAGGAGTTAATAGAGTTTTATACTTTCTTGTCTTTGGAGAGTCACTGCTCAATGGTGAGTTATCATAACTGACTGCTCTTCCTTTCCTTATTCTGATGTAACTTGGCACATTGACCTTTCTTTACCGGGTCACTCAATTTTGCTTTTAAAGTACAGTGACTCACCAGATGGCGTTATGAGCTTGCTAGACGAGACAGATATATCTAAATCACTGAGTAATTTTGACTGACCAGAAGAAGTCATGTTGTCAGTAATTATAAAATAGCTCAGTCATCTAGTTGGACCTTTACAGACTTCATGTCTTACAGAGCTGGTTAAAGATCATGATATATGACCTTGAGTGACCTTGCTTCTAACAGATGGTATACCAGCTGGTTTTGAGATGGTAATGTTTGACCTTTTTGACCTCAAGTCTTGCAAACAGCTTGCCAGCTGGTTAGAAATTAATTTATTAAACATTGGCTAATCTTGTGTCAACAGACAGTTTACCAGCTGGTTAGAAATTAGGTATTTAATATTGGTTGATCTTGTGTCAGCACACAGTTTCCAAGCTGACTAGCAGTCATAATGTGTCACCTTGGTAGACTCGTGTCTCATTATTTAACAGTTGTTTGAATATCACATGTTTGACCTTGATTGACCTTTTGTTTCCAGATGGTGTAACAGTTGTCCTATATCATGTCCTGCAATCCTACAACCTGATCCTACAGGAACGAGATATTACAGCAGAAGATGTAAGCCATTTTGATTTTGAGTATCAGTTTGTATCATTTAAACTTAAAATGTTACAAAATATGGTCACACAGAAAGACAATAAAGACTAGATAAATATAGAACAAAAAAAAAAGATGAAAAATAGCATCAGTATCAATTATGTGTTTGTCTGATGTAAAGTTTTATTGTTAGTGAAATAAATTGCTTTAGTGTATCCAGTAAATGTAAGATGTTGTTCAGAAAAATTGGTGTGATCAAACCAGTACAATGAATCCTTAGGTCATTTGACCTGGAGGGGCCTCATAGGGAAAATTCTAATATTTGGATATAAAATGCAAATCCTGGATCTTAACCTGAAAGCTTCAACAAAAGAAGATAATTTGACCCCTGAGGACAGAAAGAGATTTCGGGGCAGAGGGAAATGCCAAAGTAGAAATTAGCTCACCTTTACTTTAAAATTTGGATATCTATAGATTTTTGCCATAGAAATTGGCTATAGTGAGAAAATAAAATATATATGAAGTTTCCTCAAACCTCTGTGACATGTATATACTGTTTTGTAGATCGTGCTTGGTTTTGTGAAGTTCTTCTTGGTGTGTTTTGGTGGGCTGTTTATCGGAGTAATTATAGGAGCCCTGTCCTCCATTCTCACCAAGTATACCAATAATGTTAAAGGTAGGTTACACTAGACTCACAGGAAAACTTTTATATGGAACCTGTTAGGAGGGAGAGGCGTCTTTGATAAAGAAAACTGATTAGAGACATTAACCCTTTTAATAGAGAAACTTGACTAGGAAGACCAACTTTATTAGAGAAACCTGATTAAATCAAACACCCGCTTTCCAGTTGCTTTTCCAGATATTAACCCTTTTAATAGAGAAACTTGACTAGGAAGACCAACTTTATTAGAGAAACCTGACTAAAGCAACCACCCCCTTTCCAGTTGCTTTATGAGAGAAACCTGACTAGAGATATTAACCCTTTTATTAGAGAAACTTGACTAGGGAGACCAACTTTATTAGAGAAACCTGATTAAATAGACTACCCCCTTTCCAGTTTCTTTAATTGAGAAACCTGACTAGAGAGACCGACCCCTTTCCAGTTTCTTTAATTGAGAAACCTGACTTGAGAAACCTGATTAGATAGAGCACACCCTTTTCCAGTTTCTTTATTTGAGAAACCTGACTAGAGAGACCGACCCCTTTCCAGTTTCTTTAATTGAGAAACCTGACTAGAGAGACCGACCCTTTTCCAGTGTCTTTATTTGAGAAACCTGACTAGAGAGACCGACCCCTTTATACCAACAATTTTACTAGGAGACCTCTTCCTTGTAAAGAAATATACAGAATACATTACACCATGTGACATGATGAATTGAAAAGTCTCTTGAGGTAAAACTCTGATGACACAAGCCTAACTTGTTAAAATTTGCTGTCTTTAAGTTGAGGAAGTGCACATTACATAAAAATAGTAAAATTATGATTTTCTGAGTGATTAAATGAAAGCTGTATGATATTTCAGTGATTGAGCCTGTGGTTATATTTGGGACAGCCTACATAGCATTTCTGCTGGCAGAAATGTTTGCCTTCTCAGGAATTATCAGGTAGGTGTTTTATCATTGATAACATAAGATTTATCCTAGTGCATTATGTGTTTCTATTAATGTTTTCATTCAGTCTGTATCAAAATGTATGAAAAAATGTTTCGAAACATAATTTAGATAAGGATAGGATTTAAAATCCTGTTACATTTGAAATGATATATAGACATATTTTTCAAATTTTGTTCATAACCTAAAGTAGGTGTACATGTACCAAAAAATATACAAAATATATAACTCCTAAGACAATACCAGCTACAATATTTTCTGACTCTCAGTGTGGTGATATAAAATAGACTAAATACAGGAAAAAGAAATGATTTTTATTTGAATTTTTACAGAACTCTTAACATATATGGGTGGGCTTATTAAGGTATAAATTTTATGTAATTCTACTATCCTTATCTTCTCCAGTATCATTGCCTGTGGTATTGTTCAAGTTGCCTATGCCTTTGCCAATATCACAAAGAAGTCTAGAGTTACAGTGAAATTCTTCACCAAGGTCCTCAGGTATGGCTTCTGTAAAATTATATATTTTTGTGGGAGTAAATTTTCATGGTTTTTTAAAAAAAATTGCTATTTTGTGATAATGTATTTTGTAGATAAATGTAGCTCAATAAGATTTCTCCTATTTCATATAACAGTTGATGAACACATGAATTCTTGGAATTTGAAACCTCATGAAATCAGTGAAAATAGATCCCCCAAGAAAATTAAAGAAATGATTTTAAAGTATATCATTAAAGAAAGAAATTCATTCAGAAAAATGATAACATTTTCATTAAACCTTCATCACAATTAATTTCTTATTCTCTCCAAATGAATAAGAAGAATCTGTTACTTTCTATTCAGATAAAAAATGAAAAACATTTAGAATTAATTTTTTTGAAAATTCAGTTGATTGCTTGAATGTTTGAAAGAAATGATATTTTGATGATATATTTTTTACAGTACCATCAGTGAGATCATCATCTTTCTGTTTCTGGGTTTATTTTTTGTACAAGAACATAGCTGGAACACCGCACTGTCTTTGTGGACTGTACTCTTTATCACTGTGTACAGGTTTGGAGGTACGTACACACATCACAAATCCCTATTACATTATATATATCTGGTTTCATACAGATCTTTACTTGCTATATGTTGATTCAGAGTTGCATGCTGGGATGTGCTTTCAAAGGTGTGCTTTTCAAATTTTATAAAAAAATTTTCCTAGCCTCAAAAACATCTCTGATAACAAAATTGTCAAACAGATTGAATAGGAACTCTTTTTCAAAGGAGATACAAATGTTACATGCCACAGTTCAGAATCTTATGTCCTTATGGTAGTTTACAAGTCATAATCACATGTCTGGTATTAAGCCCATCCATATTTGTTGATGTTAAGTAAAATTACAAATTAGCAATTCATTTTCCTGCCAGAAGTCAACACAACGCCTGACATTCAGTCAGAATTCGTATTTTGGTCAACTGGGCTTATTGTGAAACAATTACAGTAATTTCAAAATGCAATACACAACATAATTTCCTTTCAACAGATGTTAAAAACATGGAGAGAAAAAGACATCCCTGAGTATGGAGTTAGTATGTGTTGTGTGTGGTGTTTATGACTTGTTAAATATTAACTCTGTCAGTGCCATGTTTTGTTTTAAACAGTTTTGGATTTGTTTTGTCTGAATCTTTTTAATGCAAAAAATGTGCAAATGTTTTACTTTTTATACACTTAAGTATACTTTATCACCACTGTAACACTAAAACTTATTTCATTAAAAATTGTCACATGTGAGCAAAACTAAAAATAAAAAGTTTCTTTAATATAAAGTCAGTGTTTTCAAATATGAAGCATCAAGTGAATGAAATAGAGAATTTATCTTTATTTATCAAAGATTTATCATGTTTATCATTATCATAATTGAAATTTTACAGATAATTTAATATTTAATGAAGAATTGAACAAAGAATTTATTTGTGTAAATTGGATGAACTAATTGAATTAAAGGAGATGCCAGTGGTGTACAAGGTGATTTTTATATGCAATACTTTGTTTTGAATCTAAATACATATTTCTTATAAAAATTACATAGACTTTTATTTTGAAAACAATTGATATTTTTTTATTTTCTTTGCCAGTTACATTTTTGGCCTCTTCATTGATAAACCGGTTTGACAAGTACAGAGTGAGAAAGATCCGTTATGATGAAATGTTCATTGTGGTAAGTGTGATGATTTCTAGTAATGTATCAGTGGGATTTAGTTCACTGGAAGATCCGTACATCTGTTTGTCTGGAACTAGAATCATAGAAATTCATGAAGTAATAAAACAACTTCTTAGTTATCCAGAGGCCTGGAGTCATTATACTATTCCAGGAGCATGTTAGGAAGAAGGAGTTTCAACTTTGTTCTTATGAGTGACCTTGACCTTTGTTGACCTTGGTCAGCTTTTAAGGTCATAGATCAAATGCATTAATGCCTCATATCAACTTTTGCTGAATAACCACACAATTTTTATTATTACAATTATTGAATCCATATACATGTATGTATATAGGAATAGTCTTGTCAATTTTTAAATAATTGAAAACTACAAAACCTGTATGTAACCTTATCTGAAGATGAATGGTATGCTTTCCTAAATATGTTGAATCCAATGTGAGGTTCACTGAGATAAGAATAGTATCTGGTTATTGATGCAGGCCAAATGGGCCTCTTGTTCACATTTTATCATGCCTTAAGGTAGGCAGATTGATTCACCAACCTATAAATAGTAACGGTCCCTTGTATATTCATTGTAAATTATTTACATACTTCAGTAATATGATAACTGTTATCAAGTATTTCTTTAAACATTCCTGTCATGTGCACTGCCATGCCCTTACAAGGGTCCCGTGCAAATCTATTTATAAAGTTAAAGTTAAAACCCTTTTGGTTACTATTGTTAGTTAAAGTCTGATGGTGAATGAAAATAGATTTCTAACATCACTTAGCTCTTTTGGACCAGAAACCTAGGCTTTCTTACAATTTCAGCAAGTGTGTTGATATATTTTTAGAAGAGCATCAACCTTCACAGAAATATTATTGATAAGGCAATCCTGTTCTGTATGTGAATTTGGCTACTTGTTTTGAATGACATAAAAAGTGACAACTTTTTTAGTGAATACTGTCTTTATTGAGCTGAAAAATTACAGTATAAAATAATAGAAAGATTGTAGGATCATTTCCATAATCTACTCTGTAGCAACCTGGAACTCCCGTATCTGCCCGAGGCTTATAGTCAAGAGGACAGATATGGTATCTCGCATTTATACAGAGTCCAGGGAAATGCTTATTGTAGACTCCAGTCAGACTGGTGCCAGCTACATTATTTGTATTCTCTGTGTCATTGTAGTTGTGTTAGATATTAATTTAATCTTTTATGTACTGTTAGAGTTACGGTGGTATTCGAGGGGCTGTGTGTTTCTCTCTCGTTGCCTTACTGGACATTGAAGCATTCCCAATGAAGGACATCTTCATCACATCAACCCTCTTTGTTATCTTCTTCACCGTTTTCATTCAGGTAAATATTTTGTTACAAATCAAAATTTTGTTGGTACAATATAAATATATGTAGGTATTGAATTTCATAACGTTGTTTTAATAAGTTTCAAAGTATTAATTAGTTCCAAACCATTTATTTTTGTTATGAGACATCAGTGTTTGAGAATCGTGAATGAAACTTCTAATTTTGTACAGGGATCAACTATCAAGCCCCTTGTCCGCCTACTACAAGTGAAGCTAGCTGCCAAGACAAAGGAAACGTCTATGTATGTTGAACTCACAGAACATGTAAGTAACTTAATTCTCTAGAAACCCTATTCACAATGTCCATACAAAAACCTGGCTTCTAAAGGAAATAGTGTCATGTCTGAAAGAAGATCAATATATCAGAGGATCTAAAATAATACCTTCGTAAATCTATATTGATATAAATTACATTAAATGCTGTACAGCTGGTAATTTGATAGAATTTTTTTTTCTTTTAAAACGACCAAAATATACCAACAGATTTAAATTTCATGATATAGATGTTAAAAAACATCTAATACACATGTATCTTGTTATTTCATGAATTAGATTTTCCTGATCACATTGATGTATTACAAAATAGTGTAAATATCATCCACGTGACAGTTACCAGTTATATCATCCGTGTGACTGTTACCAGTTAGATCATCCGCGTGACAGTTACCAGTTATATCATCCGCGTGACAGATACCAGTTACATCATCCGCGTGACAGATACCGGTTACATCATCTGCTTGACAGTTACCGGTTACATCATCCGCGTGACAGATACCAGTTACATCATCCGTGTGACAGTTACCAGTTATATCATCCGCGTGGCAGTTACCAGTTATATCATCCGCGTGACAGTTACCAGTTATATCATCCGCGTGACAGATACCATTTTCATCATCTGCGTGACAGATAACGGTTACATCATCGGCTTGACAGTTACCGGTTACATCATCCGCGTGGCAGTTACCGGTTACATCATCTGCGTTACAGTTACGTGACAGTTACCGATTACATCATCAGCATGACAGTTACTGGTTACATCATCCGCGTGACAGTTACCGGTTACATCATCCGCGTGACAGTTACCAGGTTACATCATCCGCGTGACAGTTACCATATGGTTTTAGTTTATCTGTAATCTTTATTTGCTGGTCAATATATTTACGATTTAATGATGGTTGTTTTGTATACATATCTTTGATTTATTTTTATTTTTCTTAACAACAATTTGTTTTTAAGGTAACTGACCACTTGATGGCAGGGATGGAAGATCTAATTGGCAAGGAGGGGAAAAATTCAATGAGGGTAAGTCGGCTCTGTGTCAGATTCCCGATTGGCAGTTGTTACAGATAATTAAACAGATTCCACTAAGTTACTGGTAGTTCTTTCGTTTGTATTTATCAAGAAATGGACTTAACCCACTCTGGTAGTTCCTTGGTAACAGCTGAGATAAATCTAGTTTCATTGGTGAATTTTTTTTTATCAACCTGTAAATAATGTATACCATTGGATTACAATGTATTTTATAAGGAATCTGATGTGACCTATGATTATGATTACAGGAGTGGTTTTACCATATGGATGAGAAATATATCCGCAGATTTTTGTTACGTGACCACAACTTAAATGAAGAGCAATATGAGATCCTTCAGTGCTATGAGAAGCTCATGATGAAGTGAGTAGCGTTGTCCTCACTAGTTCTGGACATAATTATGATTAGAACTGTCTGGTTCATGATAAAGTGAGCAAACACTATCCTCACTAGTTCTGGACATAATTACGATTAGAACTGTCTGGTTCATGATGAAGTGAGTAACATTATCCTCACTAGTTCTGGACACACTAGGTCTGGACTTAATTACAATTAGAATGAAGTAATCTGCTAATTTTTAATTAGCTATGCTTTGTAATTAGTAAATAGGTCTGCAATTAATTTAAGTTTTTTCGTTGAGTAGGTTTAATAAACTGGTGTTCATTCATTTTAGGGAACATTACAAAAACCTTCACTTGTGTGGAGCAAGCCAACTTCCCGAAGATGCAAACAGACTGTAAGTACATGATTGCAAAGCCAAATGACATTATTAAGTACACATATGTCTGAAAGTTCCAAACGACATTGTTAAGTACACATATGTCTCAAAGTCCCAGATGACATTATCAAGTACACATATGTCTGAAAGTTCCAAACGACATTGTTAAGTACACATATGTCTCAAAGTCCCAGATGACATTATCAAGTACACATATGTCTGAAAGTTCCAAACGACATTGTTAAGTACACATATGTCTCAAAGTCCCAGATGACATTATCAAGTACACATATGTCTGAAAGTTCCAAACGACATTGTTAAGTACACGTATGTCTCAAAGTCCCAGATGACATTATCAAGTACACTTATGTCTCAGCCTCCTTCAATGATCAATGTTTACTTGTTCTTGGGATTGTCATTTACTGTATGTGTCTTGTTTCTATATGACAGGAGAAACATTGACAGTCGTGCCTTGATACAACAGATTAAAAGCAGCACATCAGGAAAAGATAATGACTATGACATGCATTTGCCTGAACATGATGATGATTCTCCTGTAGCAGGTAAATTAAACCCTTCTAATACATGTGATACGTCCATGTTACATTGTTCCAAATAAGTAAAGATCTAGGTCATCGTTACTATTTATAGGATATCATGAACTAATTCAGTAACATCACTCTAATGATTTCAGAGGGCATCTTTGAGAAAACCTAGGATGAGACTATGTTTCTTGGTTCAAAGGTCACTCTTGCTATTTATAGAAAATTATCCAGTGTGCATGGGTAGGGGATTTAGGTGTTAGAACAGGAGTGAGACATTTTCAGTTTTTTTCTATTGAGATTAATTCATCAATCAGAACTAGAAACAAATTGTGTCATTGATATGTGATACCTACCTTTATTGATCAAGGATTTTAGTGTCATCACACCGTACTTACATGTTTATACTGTCAAGGTCAATAGGTGCAAATTAATGCAACTAAGATCAAAATATATCATTTACTGTAAATTAATGCATTTCTGTGAAATATTATGGTTATGCTGTTTTATTATAGATGCATTAAAAGTGACATTTAGTTTGGAAGACACACCAAATACACCTGCTGAAGCAAGACACTTTTTCGATAAACACATCCAGAGGCCAGTCAGCCATATGGTCAGTACCAAGTTATTTCTAAAGAAACAAAGCTAATATTCTTTATACATCTTGCTCAAATATAAAAAAAAAACCTCCTGTTTTGGTCAGCTATTTTCTCTAAGTTTTCATGATGGCCCAGTGCTTGTTCTTGTTGTTCTGTGAAAATATAACATCTTACTGGTCACTATAGACTATAATTGCCAGCATAAAACTATGGGTTAACACAGCCTTACTGAGAAGGTCTCTTTAGCTGAAGGTCAAAGTTATAAGGCTACAATGTCATATAGCTTGTAAAATCAAGATACAGTTTGTTTTTGTTCCTTACCTATGTATACAATGTTTAACAAAATCCTTTAAGATATTATCAAATTTTAGTGCAAGGTGTAATTGATTATGCCATCAAGTTTGAAAATCCAAGACGGAATTTCATATAACTAAAATATATGTTGGTACATTTTGTTTTGTTTCCTTCCATGATGTCATGTAGTTTTACCAGGTTCTCACTGATGTTTGAATTGAAGTCCAATTGTGTTAAACATGGCATATCATTGGGTATCAGTGGTCGGGAAGAGAGAGGACTTATTTACACTGTTTATTATTTTACAGAATGTTTACGGGTTCTCGAAGGGACTTCAGGATCCTGACAGAATAAAGAATCGTAAACTAACCAGGATGTTCTCAATTCGTGAGCAATGGAGTAACAAGCGCAACAATAACCTTCAGCTTGAGCGCTTGAAGACAATTCGTAAAATGCCAGAACGAGCCATGTCTTGGTCTGAGGAGAATACAGAGGAGGTGCAGTTCCGAGAGCAGCACAGGCAAGCTCCTCGACAACGTGCCATGACGATGAATAACGACGGGTCAGCTGTCGCGCCATTGAATAAAATGTACAAAGAGTCTCATAACACTGTGATTGAGGTAGATGAAAACACTCACTTTGAAGGCACAGAAAATGAGCCACTTATGGATGAAAATAGTGAGGAAATACAAAAGAATGATTCTAAGAGAGAAAACTCAGATACGTTGCCAAAAAGCGAGTCTGTTGACCGGCATGGCCAGCTGACTAGACAGGGGGCTGTGGCTACAGATGATATAGCTCTACAGCCTGTTGGTGAACTTAAACGACATCGCTCCTTAGATTGAACAAGATAAGAACACTTTTCTTACCTAGGTGCTAATGCTAATATGAAAAATTCTAATCAAAATAAGAAATTAAATACCAAACTTAGATTTTAGGTTCTTGTAGGTATGGATTTTAAAATATTTTGACCTTATTTTATACTTGTTTTTGTGGTTGAAACTAGCATTTTGGTATTTCATGTTAATTTGATAATTCATTATAAAAAAGTTTAAAAAATTGTTAAGACAAAGTTTATAGTGAGTCAGTTTAGGATAGGTAGCAGGAATGTCTGTAGAAATGAGTTTTTTCCTATAATACTGCCATATTCAAATTTTAAGTTACTGTTCTGTTTGATTTATAGAGTATAGTAAATACTGTTGTTGTATACTTACTGTAAAGAATACTATATATTTACAAAATAGAGAGAAATCCTTGTAGTTCTTATTGCTTATTGCTTAGAGTATGATAAGGTCTACATGTTGCATTCCATTTTCAAAGAATTTTTTTTTTTCCTTCTTAATGCTGTTAATTGACATTATATGAATTACAATATAGATTTTCAATAACTATGCTATATGGATGGGTATCACTAACACGCATCACAGAAACAGCCATTTTGTGTTTTCTGTTGATTGGAAATAACTATAACTATGAATAGTAGGAAGTGTTATGAAATATTTTTTTAAAAAACCATATCTTATAATTGTATTTACTTGGCATTAAGTCCATATCTCTATGGTTGTAAGCCCAGCTGTATTTAAACACAGTTCTGCAGAATTGCCAACAACTGCATTTTCATTGGCTCATATAAAGCCAAAATTGATTCTAAGTTAGAGACTGTGGAGTTATGTAGTTATGTAGAGTTATGGGCTTATTAAAATGTAGAAATAGTAACTTTATCAAAAAATGTTTACTTGTACATGATAAGAATTATTTACTTTTAATACTAAGACATCAATTCGTCAACCTCTTTTTTATTTGAAAATATCAGATGGTGCCATGTTGTATATGAAAACACTTACTCTGTGTATGTTATTGTTGAACTGTTTACAGTTTAAAACTATTTTTGTATATTTTTTATGGTGAGTATCTTATATACATTGCTATCTATATTGTTAAGGAATTTTTCGGGTAAAGCTTCATAATAACATTCTGTTTTTTGTTATACATATATCTGTGTTATTTTAGCTATGTAATATTTGACTGCTTTATCTTTATATCAAAATTGTGATCACATCAAAAACTAGAAAAAATAAAGAATATAAAAAGATTAACGACTCCTGAAGCAAGTTTTCAAAAGCAGTGTACTGTTCTTTAAACACCTTCAGTGATGTGGAACTGTATTGTCACACTCTAATCCAATAACTTGCTTTATGAAATGTCCTGATGGCCTCCTACTGAACAAGGAAAGCATGTATGCAACCAGGTGAAGGTTATAGAACTCACTTTTAGGAATTCAAGCTTCAGGTGATTACTACTGGTCTTCTGTCGTGGTTGATGCATTCGTCTCCACGGTGACATTGTTATGCCATATGTCCGACTACTGGAATCAATGTAGTTAATAGATATTACTTGTCTTTATTGGATGTTTGTTTGGATGTTATTTTTATTTACATTGGTAAAGAACAATCATGATAATAAGTTTACAAGGAACTATGTCTTACTTAATTGAAGTGAGGGTAAACGAAAAGAATTCATGAGTTTCATACTGAAACAATTGGTAAAAAAGAATTTCATGCTGAAGTAATCAGCTGTTTTGTTCAATTTGTTAAGATTTTTTATTTGTTTACATAAGTTTGTTTTATTATAACTCTTTATGAAAAAGCGTGATAATAAAAAGACCACAATTCTGGTTACCATCATTATCCTGATTATAGACATATATGTAATCTGGTTTTTTAGTGGCACACCTTGTAAAGTCTGTATCTTTGGTGGCACACCTTGTAAAGTCTGTATCTTTGGTGGCACCCCTTGTAGAGTATGAATCTTTGGTGGCACCCCTTGTACAGTCTGTATCTTTGGTGGCACCCCTTGTAGATTATCAATCTTTGGTGGCATCCCTTGTAAAGTCTGTATCTTTGGTGGCACTTCATAAAGTCTGTATCTTTGGTGGCACCCCTTGTACAGTCTGTATCTTTGGTGGCACACATTGTAAAATCTGTATCTTTGGTGGCACCTCTTGTACAGTCTGTATCCTTGGTGGCACCCCTTGTAAAGTCTTTATCTTTGGTGGCACACCTTGTAATGTCTTTATCTTTATCTTTGGTGGCACCCCTTGTACAGTCTGTATCTTTGGTGGCACCCATTGTAGAGTATGAATCTTTGATGACACCCCTTGTAAAGTCTGTATCTTTGGTGGCACCCCATGTACAGTCTGTATCTTTGGTGGCACACCTTGTAAAGTATGTATCTTTGGTGGCACTTTGTAAAGTCTGTATCTTTGGTGGCACCTCTTGTACAGTCTGTATCTTTGGTGGCACACCTTGTAAAGTCTGTATCTTTTGTGGCACACCTTGTACAGTCTGTTTCCTTTGTTGCACCCTTTGTAAAGTCTTTATCTTTGGTGGCACTGCTTGTAATGTCTTTATCTGTGGTGGCTTCCCTTGTAAAGTCTTTATCTTTGGTGGTACCCCTTGTAATGTCTTTATCTTTGGTGGTACCCAATGTACAGCCCCTTTTTATTGCAAGTTGCTTCTTCGGTGCAGCCACGTCTGAATCCCAGGTTCGTATTTTGTACACTCAGTATCTTTGAAATCATTGATCCCTTGTACATTCAATATTTTTGATGGCATCAGCAATTCATTATGCATTTTTGGTGGCATAATTTGTAGATTCAGTAGTTGGTGGCATCACACAATATTATTGGTTTTTTGGCATCACTTGTAAATAATGAAATGATGGAGAGATGTTTTTTTTTTTTTTTTTGCAAAAAATACCCCAGTTTATTAAATGTGCTATATATACATACACACAAGATGTAGATCAACTTGAATTCACATATTTAGTAGAATGTGTAATATTGAATTTATCTATCGTTAAAAAATGAAATCATTTCGATAATCATTAATTTTAATGGAGTAATTTTTAATGCAAAGAAGGCTTTGTTTTGATTTTTAATGAAATACATAAAATTTGTTGCTGTTTTTATCCTGCTGTAAGTCCAAGAGGCCAACACACAGGTTGTGTGTCAGAGTCAGAGGTTAGCTTTTTACCAGCCAATAACCTGTAAGTTTGTTAGTCTACTTAAGGTCAATAGATATTACCAGGCATGGACGTCTTGTTGGATAACTACAGTACATAATATATACTACATCTATTATCATGAAACTCTAAAATCACTGAATAAGTTTAATAAGCCACCATTGTTTTAGCATGAATTGGATTTCATGATTGTACAATGTTAAGTATTATTTGTTCTTCAATGTTTTCACTGTCGATAACGTCCCATGTATCGGCCATATTTCATTAGATATTGATTTTTTCCATAAGCAAACTCAGAAGTATTCAAACATTTACAAATATTTTAATACTTTTTCATTATAGCTATGTTTATGTATTTTATAACCCATATATTGATCTCATCTTTTGAGCAGAGAACAATGGTATAGTATTCTCCTGATCGTAAATAACAATGTCTTTCTAAAATGTTGGACCAAATGAAGTCTTTAAGTGATCATTTAACAGCTTATATCTTACTCTATATTTCTAACTTATAACTTAATGTATGTCTTGTTAAATTTAACTCCAATTGTTTATCATTTTTTTAATATATTAATATTTATGAATATTTCATGAACAGTATATTGAGACACTGCAGTAGAACATCAACCCTTTTTAACCTTCGTTCAATATAGCAAATATAAACTGGTGTACAAAAATGATATTTGTCAGCTTAAGGGTGAAGAAGCCTGCAGTGACTATTATTCTGCAAAGAAACACCTGGTGAATAATATTACCCAAGAAGAAACTTAGTGAATATTTACCCAAGAAGAAACGGTGAATATTTCCCTGTGAGGAAATCTTGGGTGAATGTTTAATTGAGAAGAAACCCTGAGTGAATATTTCGCAATGAAGAAGCATGGTGAATATTACCTTGTGAGGAAACCTTGGATGAATATTTCCGTGTGAAGTAGGACCATGAATATTTCCCATGTACAATAAAAATTAAGCAACGAAATGGAATGGAAGGTGGGTTGAAATCATTTTCCATTCAGAGTTGTGGATTCCCGGTTAAAGGGATGAAAATTCTATGGTTACAGACTCAGAAAAGCAATAGAACATTAGAAATTCTGTTATTTTACCGTTTGGACCCATCATTCAATAAGGATTACCTCCCTTATATCTCACAAAGTCTTGGGCCTGAAAAAGGTGTTTTGTGCTGACTTTGGATATGGGCCAGTATCAAACAAAAGCATAAACTAATACTCTTTAAAGACAAAAAAAAAAAAACAAAAAAAAAAAAAAACAAGAAATTTTAATTTCAATTGCAAATTGCTGAAGTATTTAATCTAATTGTAAATGAAACAAAACTGAATTGAATTTCTCATACTTAAGAAAGTTACATACAATATAGTATTGTAAAATATGTGTAACTACTTTTTGTAAGTTGTATATAACTACAGTATTAGCTTTAACATTCCGGTGGTTTGTAATACTTTTTATTTCTCTCAGTCTTGATGACTAAACTATGGACTTTTACTGTTGTACCTCTTCTAAAATGTTTACCTAAGCAAATTTCATAAATATTTTGTTGTGTACATTAGTTTGATGTCTGTCATTTTTTTTATACTACTTCTGCTATCATTGAACACTGGATATATATATAAGTAATATGATTAAAATTGTTACAATATATGGTAGAAAATTTATACCTAGTATAACCTAAGGTTAGATAAACTGTGTACTGTAATAGGGATTAAAAGTGAGTTTAAAGACCTGTAAAATTTAATGTGTTTTTTCCCAAAAGGGTTTAGGAAAAGGCTTAAATAACAAAATCGATAATTGAAAAAAGTGGTTAGAAAATATATTATATATGAAATTAAAGATTTCAGCTGAACTTCTTTCTCGCAATTTTTTCATGTTCACTCAGCTGTCGCATTTGTAAAAATGAACTTTGTAGTGTCATTTCTGATACCAGTATTGTTTGTGGAGTGAGTAATTTAGAGTGTAATCAGCCAGATGATGTTTGTGGAGTGAGTAATTTAGAGTGTAATCAGGCAGATGTTGGTGATGTTTGTAGAGTGAGTAATTTAGAGTGTAATCAGCCAGATGATGTTTGTGGAGTGAGTAATTTAGAGTGTAATCAGGCAGATGATGTTTGTGGAGTGAGTAATTTAGAGTGTAATCAGGCAGATGATGTTTGTGGAGTGAGTAATTTAGAGTGTAATCAGCCAGATGATGTTTGTGGAGTGAGTAATTTAGAGTGCAATCAGCCAGATGATGTTTGTGGAGTGAGTAATTTAGAGTGTAATCAGCCAGATGATGTTTGTGGAGTGAGTAATTTAGAGTGTAATCAGCCAGATGATGTTTGTAGAGTGAGTAATTTAGAGTGTAATCAGCCAGATGATGTTTGTGGAGTGAGTAATTTAGAGTGTAATCAGCCAGATGATGTTTGTGGAGTGAGTAATTTAGAGTGTAATCAGTCAGATGATGTTTGTGGAGTGAGTAATTTAGAGTGTAATCAGCCAGATGATGTTTGTGGAGTGAGTAATTTAGAGTGTAATCAGCCAGATGATGTTTGTGGAGTGAGTAATTTAGAGTGTAATCAGCCAGATGATGTTTGTGGAGTGAGTAATTTAGAGTGTAATCAGCCAGATGATGTTTGTGGAGTGAGTAATTTAGAGTGTAATCAGCCAGATGTTGTTTGTGGAGTGAGTAATTTAGAGTGTAATCAGGCAGATGTTGGTGATGTTTGTGGAGTGAGTAATTTAGAGAGTAATCAGCCAGATGATGTTTGCGGAATGAATAATTTAGAGTGTAATCAGGCAGATGTTGGTGATGTTTGTGGAGTGAGTAATTTAGAGTGTAATCAGGCAGATGATGTTTGTGGAGTGAGTAATTTAGAGTGTAATCAGCCAGATGATGTTGTTTGTGGAGTGAGTAATTTAGAGTGTAATCAGCCAGATGATGTTTGCGGAATGAAAATTTAGAGTGTTATCAGCCAGATGTTGTTTGTGGAGTGAGTAATTTAGAGTGTAATCAGCCAGATGTTGTTTGTGGAGTTCAAATGCAAATATTATTTCCAATCTCGTTACATTGTTTATCTGCCCTCTCTAGTTACCTCTGTGTTTTAGAATGGAAAGTTACTTATTTTGTCATACAACAATGAATTTTAAGGTAGATATACTTTTTTATATATGTTATTATACATCACCAATGAATGTTCATACCTATCAATGTCTCCAGTAGAACGCCATGCAATTTGTTAATATATATATGGTCTTTAGTTTGACATGCAATAGAGTTTCGGATGATACTGTTTGATGCACTGTATTACTGGCCTATAGTAGAACTAAGTATAATGTTTATACTGGTCTGTTAGAAACGAAAAGAGGATGTTTACAGTAGAAGAATGTTAATACGTATTTAAGATATTTACGTTAGAAGAATGTTGATACGTATTTATGATATTTACGTTAGAAGAATGTTGATACGTATTTATGATATTTACATTAGAAGAATGTTGATACGTATTTATGATATTTACGTTTGATAATGGTGAATGTATCAGTTCAAGATACCTACATACATATTTGTACTTATATGGTACGATGTAGTTAGTATATGTGACCAATTATTTTGGTGGGACTCAATTTTCGTGGTTTTTCAAAACAAAATCATTTTGTAGACACATGATTCCGTGGATGAATTCAGCTTGATAAATCTACTTATATATATATATATATATATATATATATATATATATATGAACTTAATTTTCTTAACAATTTGTGGACAAATGAAATGATGGATAAAGATGAAGCACAAAAATCAGTGAAAATAAATATCCCGCGAAAATTTATGATTCGACAGTAAATTTGTATGTACTGTTAGTAAGAAAAATACTGAAGGAAACTGTAGTACCCTAAAATTCTATGTGCTTATGTCGATAATGAATTGAGGACGAAGAACTACGTATTAAAAATAAAATCTAAATATTCATATATGGATCAGTAAATAGATACAAATATAGCATACTTATTTATAGACAAAATATGTATTATTGAATTATGTAAATATTTATAAAAGAGGTAGTGATAGTTTAAGTGCATATTAAAAGTACTTTTATATACAAGATGTAAACAGATTGGAATGATAGAGAGGGTATCCATACTAGAAACATTAGCGTGCTGTTTATTTTCATGGTATTCGCGAGTTTAAAATCTTATGTGGTAAAAACGCGAAATTTAACAGCTGTAATCACTAGGTTTCAGTTTTATAATGGCATGCATTTTGAGCCACGTATATTCTGTGTTGTAAAATGTGCTTAATTCCTTCCACACTACATTTTACGTGTTCTACATGCATCGGATTTGTATTATTTGATGGAACATCTCTTCCTGAATTTCCTTGTTAAATGTTTTTGGTATATTCATGTCTGTATGAAAATCATAGGAAATCATGTGTTCCTCACACAAAATATGTCTGTTATAACATTTTAAGTGTTTACATGGAAGTTATTTGAGAGTCTGATGGTCTGATAAAGTAAGATGGGTACCATGAGGAAGACAGTTTTGACTCCTGCCTTAGATGTCCACAATTCTTTTTACAACCTTCAAAACAGATGCTCTGACCTTGCAGTAATTGTCAGCGTCTGTCACAACATTATCTTTGTAAAAGATCCCTTTTTAATGACCTGAGCTCCTGAATGTCTTATTAAGGATATATCTTCCTATCCGATTTACACACAATCCACTTATAGGTAGTTTATCATTATCAGAGTTTTGATGTAATCCTTTCCTGACGTAATGTATTTAATCCATGATATCGGGGTATGACGCAAATTGTTTATCCTTTGTTACATATCTAATTTAGAAACGAAATGTTTAAATTTGTCCTCCGTACATATATATGGCCGATTGATCTTAAAAAACTACTCCTCATGTTGTGTACACAAGTATTCGATGTGTTTCCATGTGTTCATAACTCAATATTGATATGTGAATGGATGTTGGTGTATATGTTCTTCATAGGCTATTTTATAATGGCTGGGAACAGAGATATTATGTTATAATTTATATCACAGTTTGTTTAGGATTGTGCATATTATTGTTTTTCTGTGGTTTTACCGGACATTTGCATTCAGTCCAGAATTTATTTTTTTTGTATTTAATGGTAAAAAAAATCATGATCAAAATACAAAATCATAACACCATTAATCTTTTCTTCCAAACCTTAGTTTATTACACAAGCAGAACAAATTCCAGACTGTGAATACATACATGATCTATCAACAGAAATCATTCCCTCCGTACTTATACTGAATATTTATACTGGTGATGGACAGGGTGATAGAGATGGTAGATATAGGGTTGAGTTCATTATCTCTCATCCCTTTTGTTTATTAACTGAACTAATCCCATTTATTTCCTAACTGGATTTATTTTTAATATTATTGATTGTTATTAATTTCATTGAGGTTCTAAAGTTGTTATTTTACATTGAAATTGCAAAACCGGTTCTAAATGTTTAAGGTAATTTGCCCAAATGAAAGCGCAATATTGAACCCAGGTGAATTATGACATACAACTTGGATGTTGTCAGATGACCAGAGACATGCATTTATTTTACACGTTATTAGAGTAAGGTAGGAATTTCAGCTTAATTTGTGTTACGTAATGTAAATAGTATGATAGATATGTTAATATAATATTGTATAATATAATATAATATAATATAATATAATATAATATAATATACTTGGAAGTTACTTAATTGTTTTGATGTTAGAATGTTCTATTTTTATTTCGATTTGACTCCGAAGTTTCAGGTTTATCATCAGTAGTTTGACAATCGTATTTATTTTAAAAGCAAAACTAAGAATTGTTATTTTGTTTTGGTAGTGAAGACAATCTATACAGTTAACAATAGCGGAAAAATCTAATCATAGTGATTCAATTTTCTAAAAGAGTTTAAGGAAAATTCAAGTAATCAAATTAAAGGATTGTTAAATTATCATTAAGAGGAACTAGATTCAGAATTGAATGTCATTCAAAATCGAATTTTAAATAGAACGGTGTTCTATACAGCTAAAATGAAATACCAATAAAAATGAAAAGCAGCAGTAGATTCTGGAAATGGAAGCAATTTGTTCTGTTAATGCACATTTATCTTTCACTGTTTCCTTTTTGTCATGTAATCAGATTCATGTATTTACCAATACTTACTTATTTGGAAAACACATCAATAAATTAGCTAATGTTTTACCATCTGGATAAAAATTTGAATGAATTGCAGATTTTGGTATTTGATAAATGGATTTTTGAAACCATATATAGAAATTGCTCGTTAAAATTAAGTGGTTATAACTTGTTGAAGTTAAAAAGCATCAACATATATATGGGGATATGTAGTGTTGGAATTTGGTTGGGAAATGGATGATGTATATAAATTTCATTGTATAACAGGTATTTTATTAGTGGTATCTTTAAAAGAGGAACAGTATTGTTAAACTGTAAAGACAAAGCTATGAATAAGTTAAAACATTGAGTGGTAGCACATCAGAGTTTTTACTGTCGATGTAACGGTGTAATGAAGCTGTATATAGAGTTAACAAGAGATTGTGTTACATGTACGCCACAATTTATAAATGGGAATTCGATAAAATCTACAAAATATACAAGAATATATACGAGAATAACACAATGGTCACACCAGGTACAGTCTTCACTAGATAGTAACAAAACTATTGATTTGTTGGTAAAATGTTATAAAACGAGAAGTATGTAGCCTCTAAAATTAGGATTTTTACACCGTGATTACAATTCAAGATTAAAAAAAAAGTGTTTCTCCTCTTAGTTGTTGCTTGTTCCATTGAATTGCCTTTAGACACAATATATCATAATGCTTCCTTTGTGACTTTTTTTACTGCAATTTTAATGTATAAATTGTATTTATGGACTTTTTTGTGTTTGGCCTCTGGTGTCGACTTCTGTACATGTGAAATGTTTTCTGTAAAATGGCTGTTTACTATATCTGTTATATACACCTGTACAATGTATACTTGATGGATTACATTCTCAATCAATGGCAAGCATAATAAAAAATACACCCTATTGTGTCTTTCGCTTTCTCTCAGCTAAATGGAGTTCCCAAATTTGCTTCATTGACAAAAATTATACTTGATATTATTGATAAATTGTTGAAGACACGGGAAGACAATTAAGGTTTAATTGTTCTGAATCCTGTAAGGGAAGTATGACAAGGATGCAATGTACGTCACAGACGTTTGTTAGGCACTTGGGTATGTGGAACTTGATATCGATTGTGTGATGTGTAGCGTACATTCTAACTTAACAATTATCTACCGTTTTCTATGATATTGATGTGTTTTGTTAAATAAAAACATTTCCATATTTATCCAAGATGAAGTGGTTCTTGTTGTTTTCACAAATATTAGCTTCCTTGTTTGTGCTGGTTCATGGCATTTTCTGTTTCTGTTTTGCTGTGTCTTCAGTGATTGATCTTGTATCACAAACAAAGATGTTGAACTTTTCGATAATTGACGAATCTTTTAGTTCTGGATTTAACATTCGCTGGATTTCGAATTTGCCGTGTTGCTTGGATTCTGCAGTGATTATTTTCCTAAACCATATCCAGAAATTATTGATCGAACTTCCTGACGAAATTATACAAAAACTAACATATCAATATAAACATAATCTAAACTCAATTTCAATAAAACTTGGGCAAAATATGAACAAAAGAAATATTTACACGGAGAATCCTGAAAAAGTATAAGGAGAATAAGACCAGGTGTTCCGGAGTTAGCGTCTTCTGCTTCATCGACAACCCCAACACATTTCAAACCAAAATTGTATGAAACAGCTGAAACTTTTCGTCTATCCCGAACGTCTGAGCGGGTATCAGTCAAATAACTGGGGAGGGCATTACTTTCTTAAAAAAGATTTGTTTGTCAGCTGGCGGTTTA